GGTCAGCAACTTCAAAGTATGCCTGAAATATGACAAAGCATGAGGTGAAAAACAAGTAGACTACAATTGGTCACAACAGGGAAAAATGTGTACGAAATATGAAACTGAGATCCCGTTTGCATTTTGTTACTGAATCTTCAAACTCTTGGGAAATTCAAACTCACCTGGTAGGGGTAATCAATCTTGAGGCCAAACTTCCCATAATAGCGTAATCTGGATTTGTGTATTATCTTCACTAGGAGAGGGAGAGATTTCCATGTGTTTCTAAAGGATGACTCCAGACTAGAAAGAAGAGTAATCTTGGACACTGTTGAAAAGAAGACATTGTGGACAACACATTTTAAGGGTTTTAGGCAATTTAGAAGCCATGAGAGAGTTCATGAAAAACAAACACAAAATACATTTCTAAATAGTGACGCATAACTAGACTAGACAATAGTGTTCCTCCTGTTTACAGTTTAGACTATAAATTATGCAACTAGTCCATGTGGAGTATAAGAGTATATTAATATCATATTACTTTGATGATTTAAGACTACATATTGCCAAGAACTGTGGGTACTGTAATATCTTGAAAACAGCTTGAAGCACCATCAATCATTTACCACCTTTCTCTGTTTGTGTAGCTGCAAAACCAAGTACCAAAGCCCACCCCAGTGGTATAAAAGAGTGTGACAAAGGGGGTCATAGTAGTATCTCACCGTCCAGCACTGTGTCAGATGTAGGAGACCCTGAGGTCCAGATGTCTCCCTCAGGGTCGTCGTTGTTCCACAGAGACAGGTAATGTTTGCGGCTCACCTGAAGGGGAACATCACTTTGCAGCACCACACTCCTCTCCATGCCATGCTTGACCAGTATGGGCAGTGAGCTGACATCCTTTATGCGGGGCAGGACAGCAGACCTCCCTGCACCACTCCCAAGCTTTTCAATGCAAATGTAACCATGCCCCAGTCTTCTCTCATTATAAACAAAAGTGCACTGCGTGATGCTGATGTCCGCCCCGGTCCTCAGGGTGTTTGTGTGCACCAGGTGATTTAAACTAGGGTGAACAAAGCATTTGGCTCGCCACACTCCGTCAGTGACCGTCACATCGTAGCTGTAGCTGTCGGGCTGCTGCTGCCCCTCAGTGGGCTCAGATAAATACCTCTGGAGAGCAATGACAGCGACAGGAGCCGCCTCCTCGGGCTGTAGTTTCAGGCACTGTGTGGAGGATAACCGCTCCAGCGTCCTCTGGAGGAAGGACACCTGAGAGAGGCCCGTCACCGTCGAAGAACAAGACGAGCTGTCCTCCATTGTGGAAAGTTTAACTTAGTTAGTTAACGCGACTTAGTTAGTTAGATAGTTAGTTAGATAGTTAGTTAGATAGCCGCTGTTGTCACTCATGCTAGCTTGTCGGCTAACTAACTTCTTCCTGTCCGTATTAGCAACAGTGTCCTGTAAGTGCGCAGAGAAAGTAGTATGGTATTAGTTGTTCTTTTTATAATCATACAGGACTTAATGTTTCACGGTGTTTTGAGAGAGGAGGATACTTCGGTAACGAAGGTAACGTTACAAATAACGCGCGTATGGTTTGATTCTTCTTCTGCTTCTGTTACATCTTCTTCTTCTTCTTCTTCTTTAGGTTTTATGGCGGGTTGCAACCTTGACTTTATAAGGTGCATACCGCCACCTACCGTACCGGAGTATATAGCATGAGTTATAGTTATGTGAGACTACTTTACAGCATAATAAATAAATAAATAACCTAACTAAATCCTATAATATGATTTATTTAACCCTGTGTGGTCAGGCTCCTCCCTCCTGCTCTTTCTAATCACACCCTGCACACTGTAATATTTCCCTCCACTACTATCCCTGTCCAACCTGTCCTGCCATTTCTTCATCATTTCTTTTTTGGTCATCGCCTTAGCTTCTCCTTTACCAGAGGTTATATTTATCACATTGCTCGTCATGGTTGATTTTCTTTTAAAGCTATTTTGTCTGCTCTCTCTTTCCCTTTTATACCTACATGATGATGTACCCAGCAGAATCTCACATCTATCTGATAAATGTTGATGGATTTTCAGCATTAAATCTTATCTATTAGATGTCATATTTTGAATACAGTAAAGGTCTGCTACAGAATCAACACAACACAACCAGTCTGTCTGGTTTTACTTCCTCCACCGACTGCAACGCTGCGATAATCGCCATCATTTCTGCTGTGTAAACTGACAACTGATCAGTTAATCTTTTCCCAATACTTACATTTATTGTTGGTATGTGTATTCCTATGCCTACCCTATCTTCTTCATCTTTGGACCTCTCCTTTTATGTGACTTGCCAGGTGTCCTCTCCCACTTTCTTCCCATTCTTTATTTAATTCCATAAATGATTCATTCATCATATTTTTATGCTAGCTTGATTCTTACTCTTGTATTACTTCTCCACTTTTGTATCGCAATTGTTGCACAGCACTTTCCCTCGGGATAAATAAAGCTTCTTGAATCTTGAATCTTGAATTATATATAAATCTACCTCAGTTTTTGGAAACAGCCAAATAGGGATATTATTTGATGTAATATTTGATTATATAATGTATATAGCCATCATCTCGTACTGATATTAACTCCTTCTTTCTTCATTATATCTTCTGAGATCTATTAGTACATGTTTGACAGTTTCTCCTTTATTACAGTGTGTGCATTGTCCAGCAGGGTGCTTTGATCATCCTGTACTCTCAGATGGGTAATGATCTCCTCCCTCTGGCTCCCACCAAAACCTCTGCTTTACTTAATGCTACTTGTATGTCAATTAGCGGCCGCTTTATTGATTGTTTTCCCAAATTTATAACCATCTCAATTTCCCATCAGCAGGAACCCAAAGAAAGGAGATATCCAATCCCCTTTAATGTAGCCTGAGTAGCAACTGAAACATTTCATATATAAATATATATCCTTGCCTGCATGACAACTTTCCACACATGACAGAAGTGCTGACAAGTTATATATCTGAAGGCACTCATTGTAATGCTAACAATATTAAGATAAGATAATATAAGATGTTCCTTTATGGATCCCTGAGAGTCTCTTGATCTTTTGAACCATCTCTAAATATGAATATCTTTTGTTGTTTGTACTATTTTAGTTTAGGTTTCTCTTACTTTCTACTACAGACTTGTATGAGTGGGATAATGAATCTCTCAGGAGGTGTAGCTGATGATGGAACAGTGGGCCTTCGTTTTACAGGTCAAGCATTACACCTAGCATTCCCTATCCACCCACAACTAAAACAACCTGGACTCATTATGCTCCCAACACTCCTGAAAAATAGCTTTTGTAGAGGGTGATCTACTATGCCCTTGAAGATTAACCCAATACACTAACATAAGCGTAACCCTACTGATTTGTAGAGCCATTTCAACCCATTTCGACCTGCATTGCAGATGATGTTTTAGATGTTCCACTAAAACTAAAACTGTTCAAGGTTCGTCAGGTTTTTTAAGGTTGGTTTCGGCCGCAGCCGTATAAGCCCTGCATCCATAATCTAGGACTGGTCTCATAAGAGCTTAATAAATATTTAATAAAGATGTCTTGCTTGTGCCCCAACCTCGCTCTGACAGGCAATATATTATTGATCTTTTAGCACTTGTTTTTTACTTGGTCAGTATGTTGACACCAGATAAGCTCTTCATCCCTCATCAATAAAACCACCTTAACCCGTCTGAGTGCTTGTCTATACAATTTCTTGGGTACTTGTTGTTTGGCTGTGTCACTATTTGCCTTAAATGGGTGGGTAATGCCTTCACCATCCTGGTACACCATCAGTATTAGTTGGTAAAAGAGATTTACAGTTATTCATACTGCTGACCTCTTCAGAAATCATCATTTCATCATCATCACTTCCTCTCATTTTCTTCAGGGAAGCAACCATAATTTAACTCTGGCAGTTTGGTGCTGCAAAGGCATTTGAGTTCCCTGCATTACTGGTGGGAATGAAATAGACAAAAAAATTGAAGCATGTTTAACTTCCTCTTAGAGCTGGTGGCAGATTCTTATTTTCCTCTTCCTGTTACTCAAATCATTGTGTCAGTTAGCAGAAATGTAGTCCAGACCCGATGATGTGCTGATCTCTGATATTGGTTCATTGGGCAGAGGTGCCTATAAAGACAATGCTGATAAGGGAATGCTCTGCTCTGTCATTACCTTCCCTAATAGTGTAAATACTGTTTGCCTTGTTAGCTCTTTGTGTCTTTGATAATAAAAATGTTTGGTCTGTGAGATACCAAATGTATATCTTTTGATTCATTTATCTCAACAACAGTATAAATACTACACCACTGAGAGACAATGTGTGGAAGTTTAGAAATTTAAAAAAAAATCTTTTAACATACATGTAACTAACATTACAACTAAAAATTAAGATAAAGAAGACAATTATTAAACCAAGAACACATACAACAGAAATGTAAATATAAACAAAATCACACTACTAGTGTACACAACAAAATACTGTCGTAAGTTCAGTGAAATATTACTTAAAATGTTCCTTAGCTCAAATAACCACTTTTCCACTGTATTGCTTTTCACATAGGACGAATTTGCCTTGGTACATTTGTGCATAAGAATCACAATGAAGTGTAGAAAAATATAAATAAAGATAAAAAGATATATAAAAAATAGAGACAATAAAAAGGAGCCACTATATACGAACACATACATACGATATGTATGTGTTCAATTTAATTTAATAATTAATTTATTATTTCTCTGTAATATCCTTATTATTATTTTGACAATTTGATCACAACCATGCAGATTATTTATTTATTGTTTTTTGAATGAAAAAAAAGAAAAGTCTTATTAAAGATTAGCATACATCATAGAAATAAATGAACCAATTGTTCAGTGGTCTCCCCTCCCATTCATTCATGAAATACCCTGTCCCACAGAATGAATCCGCTGCGACCGCCTTCTCATCAGAAACTACAATCCCAGAATGCACCGCGACCTCGGCAAGCATTTCTTGTCGACGTGGGAAGGGAGGGATTCGGACACAAACAAACGTCCACGGGTTTGATGTCGGGCTACGTTACAGATAACCGTGACATGTCAGGTGGATTTAATAGATAACTCCATGACATTTGAAACATGTGGCTCAAACCCGAAGAGATTCTGCTGAAAAACGCGTTTAAATTATGGGTCACCGAGAAGGATAACGAGTACTTCGTACTGCAAAGGAGGCGAGGGTACGGAGAAGGTGGAGGCGGTTTGACAGGTAACGTTAGCGGTTTATGTCGCCACCTCCTCGCATGTGTAGGACAGCGGCTGTGTAGCGGCTCCGTTGAACCGTATTTTAGATAAACTAAGTTATTAACGGGTTAAGTCGCCTTACGTTTTCATAGCTAACGAGCCTGTCTGCCGTGTACAGGGCGGGTGCTGCTGTAAGCCTACACGTCCACAGAGAAAATGCCCTCATAGCAACAGGTATGAGCCAGAATAACACGGGTCAGTTCAGCCACCGAACAGCTGCTTTTTTCCCCTCGTGTTGACGGGCCAGTCTGCGGGAGTGAAGGTATCTTCTTGAGTTTACGTGTCAGGACTTGTTTGGTTTGTTTGAGGCTTGTTGCAGCATAGAGTTGACATTGAGGGAGGAAAAGTCTGTGTCCATTTAACGGTTCATTTCCTTTCCTTTCCTCTGCCCTGCGGTTGGGTTACAGGACGCACACAGGCCTACTGACTCTGAGCCACTGTTGTGTCAGATTTGGGACTGAAGTCACATTACCAGCCCGACACAAACACTGAATATCAAGCGTTTTGGAGCAGCAAACTGACTGCATGTCCCAGGGCACTTCAGTCAGTTTGGTGGATATTTGCACCAAATTGGCTGAGGCTTGAAATCTAACAGGAAAACCCTTGAATTTCTGGTGGGACTGCAGTGTCAGGGGCTGCTGCTCTCTGGGCAGTACATGTGTCAGCATCTGTGGTGACATTGATGCTTAGTTGAGTTGTCACTATAATTTAGGTTACATTACAGATCTGCTAAAGTGAGACGTAATATTTTTAGCAAGGGAGAGAAAACCCTGACTGTTGTTTTTACAGACAACTAGTTGTTGTTGTTGTTTTCATTATTGAATAATCTGTTAATTATTAACAGTCCTAAACCTAAGTTATTGAATTTACACTAATATGATGCCGAAACATGGGCGACAAAGCAAAGTAAATGTTTGGCATTTTTGCTTGTTACATTACTGGCTGTTGATTATTATTGATCAGCTAATCGTTTCCTGAACTTATCCTTTCAGCTCTACTGCAGAACGTTTGTATAGCTGGTAGCTTTCCCCCTTCTCTTGCAATGGGACTGTGAATATATATGGCCAGTAATATTATTAGCAGACCTACTGATCAGATATTTTTGAAGTCTTTGGGAAGGAACCTGTCATTCTTGTGTTGCATCACTCCTTATGGACTATTGGGAATTTGTTTTCTTTTTGTTTTATTGATTCTTGTAGATTTTATATCTCAATTTTATATTTAACTATTATTGTGATATGTGAGGGGACAACAACTGAACTTAAATGGATTTTGTACTTCCAGTATTAGGAAAGAGTGCTGCACATTCAAAGTAACCCATAGTCAGTTATAGTAGTTGCGTAATAGTTGCATCCTCCTTTAAATCGTGCAGCATTCAGTGAGTTTCTGATTTAGACACAAGCTGTTGTCTAAACCTAACTGCGTGGCCTGCTTTGCTAACTTGGATCTGTTTAAAAAAAACAAATCATTGTCACCTGACAGTTTAAAAGTAGTGCTGCTAGTAATACCACCAATGATTGTAACCTACAGTTTTCTAACCACATGCCACAATGTGACAGCTGTAAGATAATTAATAGATAATTAATGATAATGAATGGTGTTCCAGCCAGAGACAAAAAGACTGATGTTCTGTCTGACTGGTTTAATGATAGTGGAGGTTAAATACTACCTGATTGTACATAGCATGCTTGCACTTGAAGCCCTCTCCAACACAAGAGTCTTTTATGTCTAGTGTCTTTTATGCATGTAAGTATATCCTCGACCGTCTGATGTTGTTCTGCACTGATGAGAACATAAATTATGTGGACTGTGTTTGATCCTTTGAATCCTTTTGTACATGACAGCTCCAGTGGTAGAACATGTGGAGAGCTGAACCCTGTACAGCGGGGCAGGACTGTATAATGCCGATACAGTGCATGAGTGTGGTTTCACTGCGACCTTGTTAATTATTCATGGAGGGCATGTCACAGAGAAGTAGTAAAGGTAACAGATTTAGCTAATTTTAGTTGTGTGAGCTGAGGGATTTGGACACTGCAAGGCACAGTCCACAATCCAAGTATAAATAAAATATTGATGGAAATGAATTTTAATACACTGCATTATTGAACACAGATTCAGGTTTTTGTTAGTGGGGTGCTACTAAAGGATCTTTAAGTTATTTATATTTTCTGATCCTGGTTGTTTATCAGTAAATACAGCCGTTAAACAGGGCTGTGAATATCATTCTGGTATATCTGTCTTTCTGATTTTTAAAGGCGTCACATGGCTAAAGGTCATGTGTAACAGTATTGGTTGAAAATATCACTGTACTGTGTGTTACAGGCCTCCTTGTGGGAACTCTGGATACTGTGCTGGACTCCACATCCAAAGTTGCTCCCTACCGCATTCTTCACCACACGCCAGACTCGCAAGTGTACTGGTCAATAGCATGCGGTATGTCTCTGTACTTTCATCTCATTCTGGCAAACATTGTAATGGTGCTGTCAAATGATTAAAGGGAGATTTTGCATATTAAGTCAAAAGTTGAAATTGCATAAAAATGTTTACTGTTAATGTACTGAAGTTCAGCAAAATTCAACTAGAACCACAATGAAACCAATATTCCCTAATTCAGTCTTTCAACTAAGACTCTTTTGACTATAAAACAAGTCCATTTTCTTCAGAGATACAAACAAAAAAACAAACCCAAACCTGATACTGTTTTTCACTCTTGATGTTGGTCAGGTGTCACCAGAGAGGAGATTGTTCAGCACTGGGATTGGCTGCAGCAGAACATCATGAGGACGCTCTCTGTTTTTGACTCCAGCGAGGACATTACCAGCTTTGTACAGGGCAAGATTAGAGTAAGAACTGTGGTTTTTACTGTGGACTCAGATCTCTCAGCAGGGTTTTAATTGTAATGCTATAAAATACTAAATGTGATAATGTCTTCTAAATGGTATTTGGAGTCATTTTTCTTGCCACTTGGTGAAAAAGCAAGTGTGGGTTCATCACCAAGAGCAACAGTCAGATTACAAGTAGTCATTTGTTCTATTGGTGATGTAAAGGTTATGATTTGTGCAGCTTTAACAAATGATGACGATTCATTTTTAATTTAGGGTCTTATCGCCGAGGAAGGGAAGTCGTCCCTGGTGCTGGAGGAAGATCCCGAGAAGTTCCGAGAAGCACATCTGAGGTTTGAGAAGTGGTTCGAGCTGCCAACGGAGGAAAAGCTGGTCACATATTACTCATGCAGCTACTGGAGAGGCAAAGTGCCCTGCCAGGGCTGGCTCTACCTCAGCACAAACTTCCTGTGCTTCTATTCATACCTGCTGGGATCTGAGGGTGAGCCATTTCTGTGCCATTTGTCCTAATAATGTTGATTAGTAGGAACGAAGGCTGTGGCAGCTCCTAACAGCCCCTGGAGTGGACTTTTATGGCCTGAAAGAAAGATCTTTGAACATTTTTGCATTAGAAAATAGCTCTAAGTAATGACAGCTTACATAATTGTTAAAAAGCCATTATACTGTATTGGGCTGCTGAGTGGAGGCAAACCTATAAAGCAGCATGGATAATGGATAACGCTGAATTTCATGACACAGTGACATTTGAAGAATTTTCCCAATCGTGCTGTCAACATTAAAATTTTTAGCTATCAGCAATTCTTTGTAATGTTTCTGCAGTGCATTTCATATATTTTAATTAATGATAAATGAGAATTTTTTGGACAAAAAGACTTACAATTACACAGGAATTACACAGTGATAATAACACCCATTTGCCCATTCATTCATGATCCTTGTCCTGGCAACTGCAAGCCTTAATCACTGATTTAATTTTCATTTATTGTGATGACTCTGCAGTGAAACTGGTCATCTCCTGGGATGAGATCTGGAGGCTGGAGAAAACCTCTAACGTTATACTGACTGAGAGCATCCATGTCTTGGCTCATGGGGAGGATCACTACTTCTCCATGCTGCTGCACCTTAATGAAACATTTGTTATAATGGAACAGCTGGCCGACTACTCCATCAAGCGCCTTTTTGATAAAGAGGCCTTCCAGAGAGAGCCGGCACTCTCCGACCCCCTGCAAATTACCAAGAGGTACTGTCTGTCTGCTGCACTGCACAGCTTTACATGATCCTGTTAGTGCTGGCTGCCATCTTGAAGAACCAGAGTAAACACAAAGTCTGACTTGAGTCAAATAACATTTATGTTTGTTTTACCATGCATGGTGTGGCAGGTAAATCATACATCATGATACCAGTACAATTTAGAAGCTGAACAAAATAATCTAGCTATTCATACTATGATATACAGTATTTGTAATAATATTTATATTTCTAATGATCTGTCTTAGGCACTTAAATAACTTCGTACTCCAGTACCTAAAAGATTGATATGGAGGGAGAGAGTCAAGAGCACAAAATGATGTTCTGCTCATGACTTTACTTTCTGCTTTACTTCCCCCGCAGAGGCCTAGAAGCTCATGCAAAGAGTGAGCAGTTCCGGACATTTTTCAGGCTTCCCAAAGAGGAAAATCTATTAGAGGTGCATGAGAGCTTCCTGTGGGTGCCCTTCAGCCATTTTAACACGCTTGGCAAGATCTGTCTGTCTGAGAACTACCTGTGTTTTGCCAGCCAGGATGGGAGCCAGTGCCATGTCATCATTCCAATGCGAGAGGTAATGTGAAACAAAGGCAGCATTACTTGATTGATAAAAACACTGCCAGTTATACTCTCAAATAGCAGCCTGCATACTGATGAATAGCAGCAACCTTCAAAAGTGACTGTCTGGCCTGCCAACGTTCTTCCAGGTTGTTAATGTTGAGAAGCCAGACTCCGGCAGCAGGGCTTTAACAGTGTGTGTGCGTGGCAAGAGGGCGCTGCGTTTCTCTGAAGTGCGGGACTTCCAGCGACTTGCCAACACCCTCCGTAGCAGGTGTGGGATCAGTGCCAGCCCTCAGCATTCTGCTTCATCAGAGGTAATGTATTTTATCACTTGTTTTATTTGTGCTATTGTACTCCTTACGTACAGTTTGCTTTGCATTCTGTAGTTTGCTGCGGTTTCTGTCATTGAAAAGTGTTTATCACCAAGGTCATACGAGGCGAGTGCCAGTCACTTATCAACCACTTTGAGGACAACCCAGAGGACGTAACACTGATGGTGGGACAGAAAGACAGCAGCAAGGCCGTAAGCACCGAGGCTCTCATGACTGTTTTCCACCCCCAGGATGTTGAAAACCTTGACCCCAAAATGGTAAATATCAGTTTTGTTGAAATTAAACATGTTTTCACCAGCATTTTGTGTTCACACATTCACTTAAAATAGAATCTGACTGAATTACTTTTAATGAAATAAAATAGCAGAATGGGGGTGTGCAGGTAGGCGTCTAATCAGTTCAGGGGTTGACTTAAATACAAATTAAGCATGCATCTGCTTAGAAATACAACCAGTTTAACTGCCCTGCAGAGCATGTACAATGAATGTGTGCTGTCTTCATGCTTGACAGCTTAAGGAAAAGATGAAGGAACAGTCTTGGAACATCCATTTCTCCGAATATGGACGTGGCACGAGTATGTTCTTCACAAGGAAGACCCGAGACTTGATTGTTCGTGGTGTTCCTGAGGCGCTGAGAGGAGAGCTATGGATGCTGTTTTCAGGTATTTATACAGCAGACATTAGTCTTGTCATGTTATGTACAGTAAGTGATCTGCAGTGATTTGTTGGCGAAGCCTTGCATGATTGAAAGTGGTAACTACTCAAGTGCTCACTCGACATAAATAATTAAGTAAAACATGGTTGATGTGGGATCTCGGCACCATCTGTTGGACTGACTGCGCTTCTGCTTCTGTAGGAGCTGTGAACGACATGGCCACTCATCCCGGCTATTACACCGAGCTGGTTGAACAGTCTCTGGGCACAAGCACTTTGGCAACAGATGAGATTGAGAGAGACTTGCACCGCTCTCTGCCAGAGCACCCTGCCTTTCAGAGTGACACAGGAATCTCAGCTCTACGCAGAGTCCTTACTGCCTATGCATACAGGAACCCTAAAATTGGCTACTGCCAGGTACTCTGATTTCTTTAGGCTTATTTTTACCAGGCAGTAACGCCCTGATTGACACTGATAACGAACACTCGGTATGTTATGTTATGAGATGTAAAAAGAAGTATGTTATCACAAAAGAACATATTGAAAACTATGAAAAACATGCACACAAAAACTCAATTACCAGGAAGTGTCCAGCCAATTTGCTTTCATGATCATTCTTTATCTCTTCTTCTCCTAATAATTTATGTTAGATTATAATTTGTTGTTACTTTTTTAGGTGAAGTGACTATTATGGTACAGACTCTTTTAATCTTTTAACCCTTACGGTTTTAAAAACTGTGTCTCCTTCACTGTCATTGGTCATTTCATGAAAATCAGGCGTGCAGCAGCTCTTGAAAGCAGAGATTTATTAGGAAAAGGCTCTGATAAATTACCCTTGTTGACACACAAACACATTTATAATGGCCTCCTCATTTATGCTTCCAGCTGAAGTAGTCTGGTTTTTATAAGTGTGTCCTTCTTTCCTGTTCAGGCCATGAACATTCTCACATCAGTTCTCCTGCTCTATGCGAAAGAAGAGGAGGCTTTCTGGCTCTTGGTTGCTGTCTGTGAGAGGATGTTGCCGGATTACTTTAACCGTCGAATTATTGGTAAGAAGGGAAGCTAAGCATGCAAAATACTGTTTCTGGTCATTTTGGGACATCTTAACTTGAATGATTTCAGGAATTTGGTCAGACTCTGAAATGTTGTCTTTCTTTCTTCAGGCGCTTTGGTCGACCAGGCGGTGTTTGAGGATCTAATTCGAGAACATCTCCCCCAGCTGGTGGAGCACATGACAGACCTGAGTTTCTTCTCCTCTGTGTCCTTGTCCTGGTTTCTTACTCTCTTCATCAGTGTCCTGCCCATAGAGAGCGCTGTGAATGTGGTGGACTGTTTTTTCTACGACGGCATTAAAGCCATTCTGCAGCTCGGCCTGGCAGTGCTGGACTACAACATGGAGGCTCTGATCAGCTGCCACGATGATGCGGAGGCGGTCACCATCCTCAACAAGTCCGTGGGAATAAAACAAAGCAGGACTGGTGTGTTTTAAACATTATTACTCTGTAATTTCTTCGTCTTTTTCTCTATTGTGTAATTTCAGATTCTTTGACAGTGTGACAAACAAAGACAGTCCGTTGCCTCCAACGGTGCAGCAAGCTTCAGTTGGCAATAACGATAAAGCATCCCACTTTAATGTGGATATCAGTGAACTGATCCGAGAGGCCTACGAGGTACTGCAAGACTTTCTGTGTGTCAGTTTTATTCAATAATAACAGTGTTGTGGTTGATTTAACTAACTGCGCTTCATTTTTAGAAATATGGAAATATCCGTTCAGAGGAAGTCGAGAGTTCACGCAAAAGAAACAAACTGCACGTAATCCAGACACTGGAAGATACAACCAAACAAAATGTTGTAAGTGGTCACTGAGTTTACAGTATTTAGTGTAACTGCATTGTTACCATGGTATTAAGGATGAATTTAAATCTATTTTCAGATCCGGGTTGTGTCCCAAGAAGTGAAATTCAGTGCCTCACAGCTTGATGAACTTTATAACTTGTTCAAAGTGAGTCAAAGACATTTCTACAGTATCTTCAGTGTCATCATACAACAAAATAATAAAAAAGAATTGACAAATATGTCATGTTTTTTGTTTTGTTTCCCATTTACAGAGGCAGCATTTCCTCTCCTGTTACTGGACAATGAAGAGTCCAGCTCTTCTCCATCATGACCCTAGCCTGGCCTATTTGGAGCAGTACCAGTTGGGTTTCCAGCAGTTCAGTGTGCTCTTCTCCCTGCTGGAGCCCTGGGCTTTCTGCACCAGCAAGAGCACCCTCTCCCTCTGGATCTTTCGCCTGATAGACGAGAACCAGGACGGCCTCGTCAACTTTAAGGAGTTCTGCTGTGCCCTTGGTAAGTTCCCTTGTTCTCTGCTTTCAGCCAATGTAGCCGTTAATCTCAGTATCCCAACTGCTATAATTCCACATTGCTTCTCCCACAGATACTCTGTACAGTGGATCTTTCACCAATAAGCTGAAATTCCTGTTCAAGTTGCACCTGCCACCAGGTGAGTGATGGACTTTTGATGAAGCCAACACCAGCTAATCTAAATGATACATTGATTTATTTTTATGGTTAACATTCATGTGACTCTCTAACCGCTAACCCATTGTGTTGTCTCATTTACATCTGTCTGCCTATTGTAAATTACAAAATAGATTTGTGTTAGTCTATCTTTAGCTTCAACCTCTGCTCCTATACTCCTGCAGGTTCACAGTTTAAGTGCAAGCAAGCAGACTGGATCCTTTACGGTCTCCAAATACTAATGCCGTTACATGACAGTAACAGACATACAGAAGCAGCATAAAGCAATTCATAAGATCAGATAGCATCGGTCTGTTGTCTACAGGGCCTGAGAATGCATGAGTTGTCATTTCCATAATCCAGTCCATAACTCAGCATTTGTGGAGTGAGCACATTGCCTCGGGGAAGAAACTGTCCTTGAAAATGTGCCTCTTGTCTGCATGATGTGGCGGTGTTTGCTTGAAGGCAGGGGTAAGAATAGTCTCTGTTGGGTGAAAGAACTTTGCCATGGCAACGATGGGTCTGAGGAGATGTAAGGGCATTTTGCAGTGGGCTAGTTTCTCTGTAAACAGGATCTGGGCTGAGGAAGAAGTGCTCAGATTACAACTGACAGCTTAGCAGCTGAAGAGTACTGAGTCACCATTTGTAATGTGCCAGGCTAGTGAACATCAAGCAGCACAGCTTTTTTTATGTCTCACGGAGAGTACATATTGCTTCAGCACCAAGGACAGGTCCCTTCTTGTTGCCACAGTCCAAACAAGATGGTAGAGGACTGGTTTCAATGTTCCGCCCTAAACTCAGACATAGTCACACAGTATTTTGTTTATTTTTCTTTGTTTATGATGTAATGATGTTCCACTGTCATCATTTTGTATTGTAGTCTTTTCCTTCAGGCAAAGTCTGCGGAGTTGTGCACTCGCATAAAGTGTGCAGAGCGAGCTGAAAAAGTAAACCACAGCGACCTCAAACGCTTGCTGATTTCACAGTAGGACAGCCCAGAGCTCTCATGGACTGAGTGGAGCCCACATCAAAGTCTGACATTGGAACTGGGCCAAAAGATCCATTGATCAAGGAAATGAAATCATGTGCTATTTAGAGCTGAGAGTCAGTCCAAACACAGAGTACAGCAGCTGTATCAGCTTCATTCAGAGAGGAGAGACTACACAATGACATCATCTGTGTCATGATTGGCTGTAGGGACAATAAAACGTCTCGTACCTTATAGCTGGGGCTCCGCTAGAGGCTGCAGGGTTGTACATACCACAGTATGAAGTGTTGAATGAAAATACTGAAGGTTTTCCCTATTATGAGAACATTACAGATAGCAGTGCTAAAAACATTAAGATTGTGATTGCACTATTAACAGTTCTACATCTGTGCAGCATAAACACGATAACACATGGCAAATAGACTATTACCTTATGCTATACTGTATCCAGTGTATCATTTAGTGTAAATGTTTTCACAGCTGATCATTAGTAGCAATTTGACACATTGTTGGCACAAGGCAAAGGTCAGAATTTGATCTTCTGGAGAGCATTGAAGTGTTCATTAAATCTGCCCATTAGATTTTAAATATTATTTTAGATTTTAGGTGGAAATTTGAGTGGAGCGATTGAGGAAAGGTCACTAAAATCATTAAGGTTCATTCTGTATCAGCAACAAATTTAATGGCACACTGAATGACTAACCAACATGACAATCCTCAGACTCTTCTGCTAATGCAGTATGAAGTTATCAAGCAGATATAATGACACTGTTGGCTTGTGAGGGTAATTGTTTAGTCCAGCAGTGCAAACTGACACGCATGCATGCACACAAACACAGTCACTGGTGGGGGTTGGAGCATAGAAATATAGCATATCTTAAATAATAGTACAATGAGAAATACAAATAATACAGGCAGGAAGTATTTTACAAGGGATTGGCTAATTTTATTTTCAATACAAAACTCTATTTTCTTTGCACAGGATTTTGAATTTATTTTTATTTATTGTATTTTTTTTAAAAGATACAATTTAAATATGCTTTCTTTAATCAAATTCTTTAACAAATTCCATCTACATTGCTCTTGTGGATCCTCTGTCTCTTCATCTTTCCTTTCAGTGCATTCACAGTCAGTATCTTCTAGCTTTTACAGGCAGTCCTTTGCACTTAAAGGAACAAAGAATCCAGCACTTTATTCCAGTGACTGAAGACTCTTCTCACTTGAGTAGACTCACTGGTTAGCTTCTTTACTCTTTCTTTCCCTTTGAAACTTTTACCCTTTCTTTCTAAATTCTGTCATAATTGTGTCTTGATGCTTGCCTGATTTACTTGAATGCATTGATTGTTCTTGAAGCATTTCTACGTAGTTTGTTCACATGCTGCTTATGTATTTCAGCATTTGATCTTCCTGAAGATGGTGTGATAAGGAAAAGCCCCGAAAGAGGTAGAGTTTTTCCACCCAAATATATCAGAAATGTTCCATGGCTATAACAAAAACATGAAAATGTCTTGATTTTGTGTGATAGTGTAGAGTCTGTGTGTGAAATTGACAGGTAGAGGAAAAGTGGACCTGCAGGCCTACCTGAAACAATGGCAAAATGAAATACTAAAGAAGGAGGAAACCATCAAGGACCTACCACGTATTAATCAGGTAACTCACTCCATGTTGCGTTTATTGACTGTTTACTGATGTCTTATGTTGAAGTACAACGCGCTTATTATTTATTTTTCTATCTCAGACTCAGTTCATTCAGTTCTCCAAGACCCTGTACAACATTTTTCATGGCAATCCAGAGGAGGAATCTCTGTACCGAGCTGTGGCTCATGTGACCAGCCTTCTCCTGAGGATGGAAGAGGTGGGACGCAGGCTGCAGGAGCCGAGCAGCCCCACAAAGCCTGCCAACACTACTGCTGCTGCTGCTGCTGCTGCTGCTGCTGCTGAGGAGTCTTCAACCGAAGAGGCTTCCACCACCCCGGAGACCTTCGACACCTCCGGCTCCCACAACAGTCAGGATGCAGCGCCTGACCTCTCAGAGCTAGAGTGGTCGTTCTCGTTCGAGCAGGTCTTGGCTTCTCTGCTCAACGAGCCAGCCCTAGTCAGCTTCTTTGAAAGGCCTGTCGACGTTCACGCTAAACTGGGACAAGCTAAGGTCGCCCAGCTGAAGCTAAAGGCAAATAAGTGAAAGGATACATAAGTGAATTGATACTTTGCTTCTGATTCAAACCAGAAGTCACCATGAATTTCCTTTCTCCACCTTGATAGGGCAGTGGGTATTAGTGAGGCAGACAGTAAGATTACTGTTGTAGTGGAGGGGACATCAGATTAAAAAATCTGGGGTGCAATGTGTGTGTGTGTGTGTGTGTGTGTGTGTGTGCGTGTGTGCGTGTGTGCGTGTGTGCGTGTGTGCGTGTGTGTGTGTGTGTGTGTGGGTGTGTGTGTGTGTGTGTGTGTGTGTGTGTGTGTGTGTGTGTGTGTGTGTGTGTGCGTGTGTGTGTGTGTGTGTGTGTGTGTGTGTGTGTGTGTGTGGTGGTTGGATGGTCAGGCAGATGGTAGGCAGCAACAATGGCTGATGAAACAAATAAGGCACAACATCTTTAAGATACTGTACACACTGTAGTAACACTATCCAACACCTTCAGTGCATTCTCATGTTAAACCTTGTGACAGACATACTGTACGCTGTCCTTCCTCAAGTCTGATTATGCATTTTCAATCATCATTGATGAAATAAATTCTCTTATGTAGCCTCAGATTTTAAGTTGAGTTTAAATGATATTCCCCCTATATGCCATGGAGCACATACAGTATAGATGTGTATTATATAAGGGACATTCAGTGCTTTCCCCTGTGTTCAGAAACAGAAGAGTTTGTCCTTCCCTCTGTCTCTGCTGAGGTAGGACTCCATAACAAATGACTTAGACAAGGTGGCAAATAGTCCACAGGAATATTCTCCTTCTGAATAGCTTGATATATTTCCTCTGTCAGACTACTAGTAGTGAAGCAAACTGTAAATGCTGTTGTGTCGTGTGACTTCAGTGTCTCCTGTTATTGGGCAATGTTAGTGTCACTTTGTAAACTTGTTAGAAACACCAGCTTTTCAGGTGACACAGAATAAAATAGTATAGTACAGTTAGTAAGGACAAGCAGTAATGCTGTCCCCTGGAAGCCATAAACAGATTTCAGAGATGATCTGAATGAGGATGTCAGATACATTATTTGAGAGCATAAAAGAAAGATTCAGTTATAATATTATACATTTGCAATAATGGAAATAAATAAAGAGAGGATGACACACTGCCACAGCACACTCATCTGTCTCATTCCTCCAACAGCAGCACACGCAGTAACAATATTATAGCATGACTTCAGTGTGTCATACTGTAAACTATGGTCTGTAAAGGTATAATAGTTTGAATTCTGCAGTGCTGCTGTAGGGAAATCTGCGTCCGCTTCTGAAAATGTGCAAGTTTGATTGGTTAATGTACTGTTTGCTTTTGTCCGTCTTACTGTATACGTAGGATGTTATGCTCTAGTATAAGTGCAGCATTTTGTACATAGAGGTCAGTTCAATAGTCGTTTGATTATTGTATTTATGAGGCTTGTATTGAAAATGTAAGATATGAGCTAGTGGACTGTTGTGGACACAACTTAAACCTTTTGAAGGATATTTTGTTTTATCAAATCTCAGGGTGCAATTTGTGTAAAATAAAAGGGAGAAAAGGGATATTTTTTCGACCTGGGACATATAAAGTATATGACTGATGAGTTATACATAGCTTACAAATGTCTGTAACATTAAAATATAGAGCATGTGTAGCATAGTTACAGGATTTTGCCACATTATGCTGGCCTTTAATGAACAGCAATTACTCACTACAGAAAGCCAGATTTGACTTTACAGTATTTAAGTTGTTTTCTTTTCTATCTCTGCTTTTTCTGTATTTGTTTCTGCTTCTGTCTCAGTGAATCGTTTGCACAGTTGTTTGAGATTCACAAATTGTAGATATGTCTGTGTCTTGGCCAGGTCTCAAAGGCTTTGAATTCCAAAAGGTCATGACTGCTTCAGCTGCAACTTGTCATCTCCAGGGGCCAAATTCATAAATTTATAGACCTTTATTTCTGCTTGTGTTGGGATAAAAGTGGTTTGGAAGCTCTTTAAGTGCAAGTGCAATTCTCTGTTTCCTATATTTTTATTATTCTGCCATTTGCTAGGAACATTTTATTATTTTCTTAATTAATTAAATTTTTTTTTCACTTAAGATTTTAGGACCCATCTGAAATGTATTGTGTAATTACTGGGTTGGCTTGTTGAAGTGAGTTTTACATACTCATTGAAAACAAGCATTTTGCAAACATCCGTTACTCATTAGGACTGAAAAGACAAATCTGTCATTGTTTACATGACTAATGTAAAAAAAACACCCCATTCATCTTTGATATGTTGTCACTCCTTAAATCCAAAGCTCGATGAGTGACTTCAGTTCAGTACCTTTTTAATGAACCAGTACTGAGTCTCAGCAACCTGGGCTCCAGGAGCTGATCATTTAACAACCTTTCTAAACAGTAACCCTATTTCCATTATTTAACGGTCACATCTGACCATTGTCCGACTATTTCAGATTGTGTTGCAGTATTTCTGTGTGGGGTTTTTCATGTCAGTTAGTTGCATGCTAAATCTATTTCAGATTATTTGATAATATCTTAGGAAATCATATAAAACAAGTTTACTTTAAAGAATTTGTATGTTGGTCTTTATAGCTCTTGGAAAATGGCACTTAAGATGATTTTTTTTTTTAGCCTAAAATTGTTTCCTCTTGGTGGGAAAATACATTAGAGGAGATGACTTTGTCGGAACAGAGGAAGGAAAATCAAAGGGTTGGAAATCTCTCTGGCGTGCTGTCAGTTTTGCCATTAAGCATTAGAGTGCATACAACAGGCATGAACAATGCTCCAGCTGCATTAGTATATGGTTAAACAAGTCTTTATATGTGCAAATGTGGTCTACAGTTTTTATAGTCTGTAGCATTTGATTAAAAGTTTGTTTTGCAAGTTATGTGGAGCCTATTTCTGTTTACCTGCTTGATTCTGATTTATTTTTTGTATCTCCATAAAGAGGTATCAGAATAAATGATGATGATTCTATGAATAATAAGGTTTGGCTCATTCTGAAGCACCCTTACATCTACACACAACAACATAAATTGAACTGACAAGCTAACTGGTACTTGTTTATTCGTGTTTTAAGGGTCATAAGTTTCTGTCTGTTTGGGTTATCTGTCAGTAAGTTGTGTAATGTTTATATTTGTCTGTATGCATCTGAAAAGCACATCATATAGTTATGTAGGATTTTATTTATAATAAACAGTCATAGCTGGACAACTAAACTCATTTTTAACATTTCTTGTTTGAGAATAAAAATCTAAATTCCTTTTGAAAAACATAATTTTAAGATGTCACAACAAAGAAAAGAAGGTGGCTCTATGTACAGAAAAATGAGGCATCTTTCAGCCATCTGGTTATCTCTCCATAGATTTGAAGTGTGTAAAATGAAATATTCGGCATAGGGAGACTAATATCATTTTTATTCTACAATATCTGAAATAGATTCTGTCCAGTTACAGATATGTTTAACTGAAATCAGTAACATGCCCATGTTGTAATATGTTTTGCTCAGTGCTTAAAATGATGTATTTTAAGCACTAGGAACTACGACCTACGCAGCTATGACTCAATAAGTACTGATTGTATCTGTCATAGTTGTTGTGAGAGAGGCTCCAGACTTCTTTGCCCCCTCACAACAGCTGACCTCCCTCCCCCAATAGCAAACAATAAATATCTACTGTCCTTGGCATGTTTCCTGACCAGATCTGTTGGCACACTAACCTTAAAGGGTCCCACCTCATACGGTGCCCCAACCACTGTAAGTATGATGGTTTTAATGGAAAAATCCTGGCATTAGGTTAGAACGGTTATGTTATAATGCATGTTGAAGATTACAGCTTCATGGTCAGTAAATAAGACCATAACTCTTTAAAACATTACTGCAATTAATGCTTGGTAAGGAAGCACAGTAAAGGAAGTTACTTTAGGTAGTGTAGTTTAGTAAAGGCACTAAACTACACTGGTACTACTTGCTCATTTTCTGGCTTTATACAAGTATACGTGCTAATGATGTGTATAATATGTAGACGTAAAGAATTATGGTGCTTCCATTTAGTGAAAAGCCAAGTTTTAATGTCTTGAGGAAAGGGAAACAGATCTCGTTTGTCACCCTATAGGTCTCTCCTTCCATTAGTTGGTAATATTTTGGCTTTATGTTTGACACTTACAGTCTTGACCGCTCACTGGTGACAAAGCAGCAACAAAAATAGCCTCTTTATGGTATGACAAAACCATGATGGGACCACATGTATTGGTCCCCAATAAATCATCATTAACAGTGAAATGTCTCCTCATTGACTCGTCCTAAAGCGCGCACGCCACCGGTGTGATTTATGAGCGGCAGTGTGACTCGGTGACGAATGCTCTCCGCGTATCACTCATACTATTCTGGCTCTGAGATTTGGTTGCATATGGTTGTAACCCAGAGTTCATAACCTTAACCCCCATCACCTGTTCAGTTTTCAGCCTTGTCCTGTCGTGAGAGATCAGGCTGCTCTGGAAGTTTGAGAGTTCTTATTTTGGTTCATAACCTTAAAGCTGCAGTTGGTAACTTTTCTAAAAATAACTTTTTGTCATATTTGCTGTAACTTTTACTATATCCTGACATTAGTACATGAGACAGATGACAGATGAAAAAAATAGGTTTCTCTGCTCCTCCTTGGGCTCCTAATTGTGTCTGCAAGAATTCACTGGGCCTGAACCAAAACAACCAATCAGAGCCGAGAAAGACCAACTTGTTGGGTTGGAGGCTTGAAGATTGATTGTTAAGTTTCATTCCCATAGTTTCTATTTTTGATGACCTGGGACTTTGAATCTTTCTTGACTCTGATTGGTTGTTTTCGCTGGATTCTTGCATATACCATTAGGAGCACAAGGAGGAGCTGAAGAACCTGATTTATTCATCTGTCGTCTGCCTGGCCTGGTTGATCTTTAATCATACATGCCACTGGCCTTGTTACCCATATATGATAGTAAAAAAAATATTGTAACTTAAAAATGCTGCTGATGCTTTTAAATTTAAAACTTCTCAGCTAGACTCATCAGATACCAGCAAAAGGAAATGAAAAACTAAAATGAGTTTAAATCAGATAAAGCATGCAGATTCAAAGCTTCATCACTCACAGCCAACAAGTATTTACATTATCCAACTAAATGAATGAATGAAACTATTACTGAAGTGATTCCTGCTGCAGGGCAGAGAACAGATGATACACTGCACCATCATTACCATGCTTTTGCTGTTTAATAACTGTGTCTGTACCCTCCAGTGCTGCTTCATTATTTGATGCACAGCAAACCTCTCTGTCTTCATTTAGAATAAATTGTTGGCCACAACTTGTTATCGTTGCAGATGCAGGAGAAGAAACTTTTGGTCCCCTACCCCCTTTTCACCCACAATGCTTCTCCGAGTGTTCATGGGAGCTATTTATAGCAGCAGTGAAGAAGTCTTTGAAGTATAGCTCTCACCAGTGTATGATGGTATGTGTTTTGGAAATGGGACCATCCACACCGCACTCAGTCTGTGTGTGTTTACTGCAGCTGGTGGAAACCAACCAGCTAAGATGGCACCTCCAGGCAAAAACATAACAGGGCTGCATTGATACACTGGGCAAATCCTGTTATAGCAGTGTTTGCACATCACAACACAACACAGTTGCACAAATCACTACAGAATATGTGGCAATGTTTGTATCAGATACAATCCCCCTGTTTATCTGACATAATTGAATTTTGATGTTTGAACACTTTATTTTATATGAATGGTCAAAAATGAATCTACAGGTTAAAAAAGAACCCAATCTGATCAATTTACTGCATCACTTGTTGCTGATTGGTTCCCTCACATAATGGTCAGCAACTCCCATCCAATCAGGTAAGAGTATAACATTTGAACAGACATTAAAGCAGTTGTCCACAGGAGACTGTTGCCTGATCGGGGTCCAGAATGGGACCTCCCTTTCTGGAACTAAACCTTTTGCTATATTTCAAGATCAGACCATCATTCTAAGGATCTAGTTTGTTTGACCCTAATCCAAATCTTTCAACATTGGATATCTGCTGATACCATGCTGATCTACGAAATAATTAAAAATGTAATTAAATATTGATTAAATATGTATCTGACACAAAACGGCTGTATCCTTCTTCATCTGACACAACCCTAACTTTCACAAGCGACTTAATCCAAATACTGAAGATGATTTTCTGTAATTGGTAATACATGCATTTCACATATAACATCACATGCATTTCTTCATGGCAATACCAGTTTTTCAGTTGTGATATTATGCTGATCTTTTAAATAAAATCAAAGCACTTAAACACTTGGGGTTGACTGGGTTGTGAGTTAAAGTAATCAGTAAGTAAATAATTTTTGTTCATGTCTGATATGTGTAACTGACTTGGAGGTAAATGTAAACAGTCTACATCCACTTAAATTATTAAAATCTTCATAATGAGGTGACTGCACTGCGCTGATTAAAGTATATGACATCTAACTTGAAATCTAGGTGTCACATATTAAATTCAAATTTGATGAATTGGTGCTGTGATCAACACTGAAACATCTTTCATCAGAGCTTTATACGAGTGCTGTGATAGTCTGGCTCTGAAGCTGTGATATTTGCTGAGCTGTGGGATGAATAATACATTTTTATTGCCTCCAGCAGTGGGTAGTAGCTATGTTGCAAAAAAGCTTCATGTGACCAGTAGAAATACCACCAGAGTATATCTGTGACATTTTTATGACAAGTGAGAAAGAAATGGATGTTATTTTTAGCCTCCCGATGATCACAGGACAGTAGATCTTATTTATACCTGACTTAAAACATGAATGCTGACACTTGTTTGCTGCACATCGGTTTAATCAAATTACAAAGTCACAAATAAGCAAGTATAGTAGTTTGTTTGTGGATGTTTACATATCATAACAAATATATATAGATAATCCATATTGATAAATGTTCAATGGAAACACTTGTCTCAAGTCTCCTGAAAATATAACAGCATTTGAGAAGTCTCTCATGGTAAACGACATGGCTCTTACATGTATAATTTACCTTTTAGTTGTGTGCACTCCACATTTACAGAAGCATGACAAACGCTGGAGTTTGTCTCTCCCAAGTTTTTCACATATTCAAACTGCAATAAGAGGTTTATTCTGTTTTTTTTGCTTTTGATTTCTAGGTAAATTACTTGTAAACAAAATTCTCATGTTACCTGCATCCCTATCACACATATATGGAAGTTCATTAATGCCAAAACTATTGAGCGAGTGCAAAAATATAGTTTTTATTAATGCATAGGTCAACATTTCAGAAAATGTAGGCAGTTTGTAGACACATATTTTTTGTTTTTGAGTGCAAACAAAGAATTGTGAGGAATTAACACTGCGATTTGAGTGAAAATTAGGGCTTGCTTAGCTTAGTGTCATCATATTAAACCTTGTCTGTAACGTCACACTGATTGTTCTGTACTGTTCAATTAGATTACTTAAAATATGACCATAAGAGCCATTTATGGGTTTTTCCAGTTTGTAATAATCTCTCACATTAAAAAGTACTGTGGGAGTTCTCAAAAAAATCCAGATTTTGCACTCAATACTAGTTCTACATTTACAAATCTGGCCCTGTTCCCAAATCTAGACTTACAAATTGATTACAACTATGGTCTGTTTTGTACTCTCTCGGTAGTTTTGTTCCTAATAACCTTCCATATTTTCACAGCCTAATACATGTGGTTCCTGAGTGTTGCTTAGAGGCAAGGAAGGTCCCTAGATCTTCAGGTCATCCAGTCTGCTCTTGTTAGTGCTGTGCTTGCTTGACTGACTGTTTCGACGCTGATTTTCAATGGGCAACTCAAAGGCAGGAGTGGAGGTTTTTCTTTCCTTCACATCATCTCCCTCTGCTTTTCCTTTTCTCTCCACAGCCATATTGTCTCTGTTCTGCTTGTAAACCACTTTGCTGTTGTATGGGCTGTAAGCAGAGTTTGGCTCTGCCATGCTGTACTTTGAATCTGTAGGAAAAGGTTCAGGATGACCAGCAAAGTAGTTGTAGTTTGGGACAAAGGGCATGACGGCCTCAGTTAGGGCCTTTGGAGCCTCACTTGCAGCCTGGGATCGTCTGTAACGAAGGCCCTGGCGGCACTTTGTGAAACCTAAGTGGTACATTTCCACCAGGTTGAGCAACAGGGAGATACAGGCCACGGCCAGCATGAAGAGGATGAAGATTGTCTTCTCAGTGGGTCGGGAGATGTAGCAGTTCACCACATTAGGGCAAGGCCAGCGGTCACAGGTGTACATCGGCTTGAGCTCAAAACCATACAGAAAGTACTGAGCTACAATAAAGGCCACTTCAAACAAGGTCTTGAAAATAATATTGAAGACGTATGTTCGCAGCAGTGTGCCACGCAAACGCACGTGGCCCTGGTTGTCTTTAATTGTGGCCTTCTTGGCCTTGTTGCCAAGTACCTGCTGCTGCTTTTCAATCTGGATGGCAAGGTCTTTCTCTTTCTGTGTCTCCTTTTCCTCCATGCGAACCAGATGAAGGATGTGGCCCAAATAAATGAGAGTTGGTGTGGAGATAAAGATGATCTGCATCACCCAGAAGCGGATGTGAGAAATAGGGAAGGTCTTGTCATAGCAGACATTCTGACAACCGGGCTGCTTGGTGTCACACGTGAAGCCGGACTGCTCATCGCCCCACACCTTCTCAGCGGCAGTTCCCAACACCAGGATGCGGAAGATGAATAGCACTGTCAGCCAGACTTTGCCCACAACGGTGGAGTGTTCCTGGGCACTCTCCAGCAGCTTCCCCAGCAAGTTCCAGTCCCCCATACTGGCTCACCAATACTGATTCAGTTTTATCCACAAAACCAGGAGACACACCTATAGGAAAAAATTTAAATGTATATATTTTATTTTTACTTGGAAAGAATAAACACAGTAATGTGGCAGGGTCTGTCCTAGTCATTTAAACATGTTGGTACAGTATGGCATCAAGCTACACATCAGGCCTTTACTTCCTACATTGTTTGGTTGTGATACTTTTTTGTATCCTTGCTTACTTGCTTGCTGATAAATATATGTAGGTGTGTGATTATGAATGACCCCATTCACATTACACATTGTCATTTGGTCAAAAGATATTGGTTCTATCAGCTTTAAAGGACCATCTGAATACAGTTCAGCCTTCCAAGTATCTAAGAGAAACTTGTGAAAGGCCCAAGAGCCAGTGTTTGGTTGGTGGTTCAATATGGTGGACCCACTCCCTCTATGGATAAAAACAGCTCATTATTAGGTAAAAAAACACACAATGATTATTATTCTAAGGTGATTATAAACTAATGAAAACAGATCTATGAATATTATATGCCATTTCTGTCAATAGATCCTCCTAAATGTTACACAATGGACCTTTAAAAAAGCAAGAGGTCACAGCAGGATCCAAATTAATCTGATATCAAATAGAGTAATGGATTTTATGCAAGCACGATGTTTCTGTCACACATTTAACTATGAGAACTATGATTTACAATAGTGCCTTAATAATTTATCTGATTAATCTTATTTTAAGATGACAATCTTACATTATAATCACATTTAATCAAATAAGCAGATTAAGTCAAAACAGTTTAGTTACTGTCCAGTTTAATCATGTCATTCCTCGTGTTTATATCATCAATATGGTATCCTCCCACAACTAAAGGCTATTGTAAAGGCTCAGAAAACCCAGAGCAGACTTACCAATAGAAACAGTGATTGATCATGAATTCACTGTTTGTATTCCCAAAGGTTGTGTCGTATCCACTGCAGGCTGATAAAAAAGGGTCAGGACACAGCTCACTGTATATAAGAGAAAGCCCTGGAGCAGGCTGGGGAGACTCTTAGCTTCGGCATAGATCTTGTGACACAGTACCCAACAGTGCTCCCGACTCCAGAATTAGGTTTCTAGTCTAGATTTCAGGGCCTAGTGGTTACAACATAGCAAAAATGAACTTTAAAAATAGTTGTACTTGTCCTTTAGAAACAGAAACAGTAGACTCACAGAATCTGAGCACCTGTTTGAAATATCACTACTACTAATAAAGTTTGTCAACCAGGAATAAAACAATTCTGTAAATACTTTTCACACAGTAGTAACTGTTGTAAGTATACTTCAAACTGAGCCAGGGCTTCATTCATTAATTCATACTTAGATATGGTGTGATCATTTATATAGAAGTAAGACATTCAAAGTAAATATCCCTGTTTTTTCATTAAGAAAGACATACCTTGTACGGTTCATCTCCCACAGCAGTGTCGATCCAGAGTCACTTGTTGACTGAGCCTCTTCAGTTCATGAAGAGGCCATGTTCTCCTGAACCACTGAGGAAACTGCAGCGCCAAGATAAACTTCTCTCACACAGTTTTCACTGGAGGCTCTGTGATCACGCCTGCTGCCCTCCCACTCTGACCTGATCAATGCCCAGTGTTCAGCAAGCCACCACAACTAAACCCCTGTCTGGTCCCAGAGCGAGCACAGATGAAAACATTCCCACTTGTAGAAAAGTATAAAAGCCCTCGCTTAAGAGGTGTTTCTATTCAGCTGAGTGGCAGCTCAAGGGTCCAGTGAGGATGCAGGTTAGTCGTACATGTCAGTGTGCTCTAAATATAATTCACAGTGAAGGGAGTGGCTTTGTTGTCACTCTCAGGGTGATCTGACTCTTGACTATGTGGAGGAGCGTCAGACAGTGTAGAGCCGTCCCTTGGTGCTGCAGTGAGCGTTACTGCTAGTGTCATCTGAAAGTTCATTCAGTTCTTTACTGCATCATGTTACTCTGGCACAGACCACACAACAGTGGCTGCATTCATCAGTACAGTACATTTACTCTAGTGCTATTAAGTACAATTTTGATGTACTTGACTTGTACTTTACTTGAGTATTGCCACCTTCTGCTACTTTTTACTTTAACTTAATATTACATTTATTTGACAGCTGACGCTATGTACACTTGATTGCATCAGTAAGAAAAAACCCCAATATACTGTAATATATCATAATATGAACCATTGTACATAATTATTTTAGTAGTACTTTTTACTTTCACCCAATATTACTTATAATGCTTCTTTAACTTACTGTAAGTCAAATTAAGTACATTTCTGAATGCTGGACATGTTTTATTTAGTGAAGTAAATTATGAATATTTCCGCTTTTGCCACACAACACAGTAGGAGTTGATCAGTGAGGACTTTTGCCATTAAACTCGCCATACATATTATCACACAGACTGATCACTGATTAATGTAAAAGCTGAGCAATGCTGTGGCTGAATTTTCTAACAAGCCAATAACTGATCATTTGCTTTAAACAAACAAACAAAACAACCTCCTTCTGATGAACTTCTATAAAGAAACTCTTCCAATCCTTACAATCCAAACAAAATGTGTGTGGGTGGGACTAAGATGCCCCACAAATAACATGAACTTTGCATGTGACATACGGTCACCACTAACACTAATCACAGACAGGAATAACAGATTGGAGGAATTTGCTTTTGGTACAGTGCTGCATATGCCTCTTGTCAGTCTTAACTCTATAGATGGTGTCTGTCGACGAGTTCCATAAAAAGAGAAGTGCCTTCATGCTTGGTCAAGGCAGGTCCAGCTGTCTGTGGGGTCAACCATTGTCACCCACACACTGACCCCTTACATGGCCAGGCTATTGATAACCAATGGCCTTCAAAAGGAAAAAGGAGAACTTAATCAGCCTGAGATGTGTCCTCACAGGTGGCATCACGGCTCCGAGGAGCTCTCGTCTAAAGACGGTAACGCTGCCACTTCATTTGTGATGAGGTTTCATTCACGTTTTTTGCTGGTTTCCTCTCAGTCACACTGCTGACAGCTGTGAAGAGTCACAGAAAGTGGCGCCACTGTGACTGCAGCTTAATTTCTTCTTGCAGATAACAGCTGCTCTATGGTGATAGGTAAGATATTACATGAAGTATTTGCAATTAGTCAGGAAATCCTATCAAAATACACCGCAATCCTCCTATTGGAGTCAAACTGGACAATTTAAGAAGCCATAGAGTCATTTCAGCATGTGTTATCCCTTCTTCTAGAATTTGTAAACCAGATTTTGATTTTAGTGAGAAAACCTAGCAGAAATTACACAATTACACAAACTCTGGTTGATTTTATTCTGCTGTGTACTGACAATATATAAACATCCAGCCTCAAAATGAATACATTTAAATAACATGTTTAGCAATCAGTAGTCAACTTCAGGAAAAAAAAAAATTCAAGTTTTTTTTCTGTTAGTTATTGCTTTGTTTATAACTGAATGAACCATTTAACTGCCAAATTAAATAATCTGTATTAAACAAATACAGTATCATATAACATTTATGAAATGCAACATGTTTTCCATGTATTAGTAACAACTCAGTAATAACAGCTGTAAAAAACGCTGTAAATTCTCCATTAGATTAACTTCATGGTGATTCAAGCAAAAACATTTTTAATGTAAATAATTAAATATTATAACTTAAAATGGCCCAAAGATTACTACATTGTATTTCCGGCACACTTTTCTGACACTATCTGACAATTTTAAAAAGCATGTGACAATACGTCACATTAAATGATTTAATATTTTCATTTCAAGACCAAAACCAAAACAAATCCATGACAATAAAAACCTATAATGGGGTCAGTTTGAATATTGCTTCATAGCGTTACTTCACTGATCTTTATTTGGCCTAACATCAAGCTGTTATATTATGTCAGTACAAAGTGCTGCTGTAGTCTTTGGTCATTATTTTAAGTCTGGTGAGAACACGCTGGTGTGAACGTGTAGTCTGTACACTAATTTTTTCCCCACGTTGGCAACAAATGTTTTGTCACTGAGATCATACTCATCACCATGCCAAACTTCGGTGTACAGTATATTATATGCACCTTACTTGCAAGTTAAATTAATGGATGTTACCTGGATCTTAGGTCACTTACATATGTCCCTTTGTGCAGGTATGAGTTTGGTTAGTACGAGCAAAGCTTTTGCTGGATCCAAGCCCCCATAGTCGAGTCTCCAGCATTGTTTAAATGCTTACTGCAGGCCTTCCCCACCAAGAAGACCACCTCTGCGATATTGAGCAGAATACAGACCCCTGACGCAGCCAACATGAACACGGTGAAGACAGTCTTCTCTGTGGGCCTCGACACGAAGCAGTCCACTGTGTTGGGACAGGGGTACGAGTCACACTTTACCAGCCGGATCATCTTGTAACCAGGGTAGATCATGTAAAACACATACATAAAGGTGACCTCAAAGACAATACGGAACAACAGGCTGATGACGTACGTCCACCAGAGAGCCCCTGTGATTTTCATCTTCTGGGTCTTTATCTGCTCCAGGTCTTTGGGGTTGGTCCGCCCTGATAGTTTGTAGAGCCTCTTGTCGACGTGACGGCGGTGGGCCACATGCATGGCAACCAGAAGGGCAGGAGTGGAGACCAGGATGAGCTGGAGTGCCCAGAGGCGGATGTGGGAGATGGGGAAGAAGTGGTCATAGCAGACACTGTTGCAACCCGGCTGCTGGGTGTTGCAAGTGAAACCGGACTTCTCGTCACCCCAAACGCTCTCTGCTGCAACCACCAGAACCAGGATACGGAAAATGAACAGGACAGAAAGCCAGATGCGACCGATGCCTGTGGAGTGTCTGTTCACACCGCTGATGACAGCATAAAATGATGCCCAGTTCATCTTTAGTTCCGGGTCTGATGGAGAAAGTGCAAACAAACACATCAGAGGGTCAACAACTGAGAACATATTGAGCTGAATATGATTTTCTTTTTAAAGTTTAAATTAAAGTTTTTCCAGTCCGTAAAGAACATAATGCAACACAAGACAAAGCAAACAGAACAGAATAAACAGAACACATCGGACCACATAAAAGCTAGCTGTAATAGCTATTAGAAACAAAAACACAAACCAGTAAAGAGAAATGAAAGTACAAATAAAATTCAACATGGCATTTTCACAACAAAAATAGGAATATTTGTTTCCTATATTGTGTCTTTCCAAAACCAAACCTCATGGAACTTTCCTTGATAATTATTAGTCTTTGTTAGAGAATTAGAGATTCAAAAGACTCAATAACTAATATTTATTGTAACCCTTCAGCAAAATCAGACTTTGTCAGAATCCTTGAGGCATCTGCCTTAATAATGAACAAAGCTTGGTAGATTCTGGCAGTGGTTTACTCAGCCACTCTCCAGAACTTCTTTCTTTCTTCTTTTTGGGCGTTTAACTAGTGTGTAATAATACATTTTGTAGTAAATTTTGTGTTTCAAACTGACTTCCCCAAATATCTTCTCCTGAACTTGAATTAAGAGCCCTTTCCCAAATATTTCTCAAATGTTCACAGTTATCATACAGAGTAATTACCATAATTTAATAAAAGATTAAACTGAAACTGGGAACAGCCGTACTTGAAATATTTTTTTTATTCCCGTTATCAAATCGAGATCACAAGTTATTAATCAAGAAATCTCAAAAAGCAGATTTCTTGAGATGACAAAATAATTAACTTGTGATTGCGAGATAACGGAATAAAAAAAAATTAATTGCAAGGACGGCTGTTCTCGGCTTCCGTACAGTCTGATAATTTCTTCTCATTTTGACTTAATACAGGATAACCTCCAGACTCTATGCAATTCCTGATTAGTAGATACCTTCAAAACTTTTTGTTGAAAAATTATAAATCACCAACAAATATTATTTTCTTATTAAAATGACATGAACTTGCTGAAGGTATCACAGCAGTTAATGTTACTATGATGATGAAGTATGCTCAACGCTGGCCTCTCAGTCACAGCTGATTTTAACAGCGTTTTATTGATCTGAAATAATTAGGCAATTATTAAATTAGTTAATAATAAAGTAATCAGCTACTATTTTGTATTTTGACAATATTTTCAGACATTTTATAGTTCAAGCGATTAACAGAGTAATTCAAAAAAGAATCAGCAGACTAATCAATAATGAAAATAATTGTTAGTTGCAGAAGTTGCTCAAGTACATAAATAGCATTGCAGAATAAGTAGCCACAGCAGCCTCACAGTAAAGAGGTTGCAGGTTCAATTGCCAATGCTCTGTTTTCTACCTATCCAGCCCAGAGACTTAAGAGAATGAGATTATTAAAGAAGCTAGAAATATGAATACTTACAAAATAACCCACATAATACTGTACTTTCATAGGTGGAACAATTTAGTCCATCCCAAATATTTCATCCCCTCTGTGCTGATCATTATTGGTTGTCCTGTGTCCCCAACATGCATGAATTTCCAGTCTAGTATAAATGTCTAAGTTGTTACCCGGCTCAGCAGGAGGTGTAAGAGGCATAGGAGGCAGCGTAGAGGACAATGTTGACCCGCTGGTTTGGCATGGATGTGAGTCCAGAGAAGAAGGAAGCCTCTCTGCCCCCCTCTGCAGTTGGCAGGCCACTTAAGAGTGCAACTCTGAAGTCTGGCACCATGAGTCATGTGACATGCTTTCACCAGTCGCCATGGGGTAGCATGCAAAGTGGGCATCTGCACCCAACGTAACGGTGTCTCTAATACTCTTTAATTCTTGGCTGGAAAATAATTTGCAGTCGAAAAGTGTCTTCGACGACGAGCATTAGAGAAGGAATCCTCTGATTCTGATGATTTAGAAATTATGAACTGTGTACTTGAACTCTACCTTGTGAACAGATGTATAGGTATAGGTAAATTATGACTGATGGACTGTGAAAATAATACTGTTTTGTTTGATTATCACTATAAGAAAGGGAACATCTTTTGGGTCAAATAAATAAAATAAATGACAAACAAACCTGCTGAAGTGTAACAGTTTTATCTGTAACTCTAACTATATATTCTTTGTTAAGGAATCTTCCCAGCTCTACACAGTTAAGTTCAGACATAACAGTAAAGCACAAACTCCCCATTAGCACAGATTTAACCAGCTGAACACACTGAAAACTATTTTCTCAGCTACATGATCTGACAACAGTTAGAAAGAGTTAAAAACAAAGCAGACTTACCTTCAGCTATAGTTTGGAATAAAGCACATCCAGAAACATTTACGTTGACATTAGCAGATTTTTTTCAATCTGTGACTGTGAACAAGAGTATCAGAGCACCATGACTTTGCATTGCTAATGATTTCTCTCACACTAGCCACTGCCCTGCACTGGAGAGGTCATATGCTTCTGTGCGCAATATTTGCATACAATAGGCCCATTTACAGAGGCCAAACAAACAGCTTCAGAATTCAGATCAAACATTTTAATTTCTGCCCAGCTGAGGAATCTGTGTGGGGACAGCAGTCTGTCCTCTCGTCCTTATTGTGCTGTGTTCTGCAGAGGAAGTGGAGGGTGGTTTTGACGCAGTATTGAGTAAAACATAAAGGTCTAACACAAAGAGTGGCCCATAAAATCTAAAGATAAGAGGACAAGAGTTTATTATCATAATAATCAGTCTGACATCTTATTTTTCTTTATTTTTTTGTTGCTGTACGCCTAACATTTAACCACTGATTCATTCTGCTCCCTCTGTATTAGGACCAAGCACAGTTTGACGTACTTCTGTGGGATTAAATGCTTTTTAGACTGAAAACCTCTTTAGCTCTGTGTTTTAGCACAGAGGTGTTCAAATACTCACATAACTCCTTTAAAATTTACTTTATTTAATTACATTTTATTTTCAACTGTAAAAAAACATATAAATGAACATTGAAATGTTGATTTTGAGAATGAATATTATTAAACAGCAAGGTGGGGTTATATTGATCATCGTGGGAAACATAAAAAGCAGCTTTTTAAAAAACAAACTATTATAATCAACAGTATCCAATGTCTTGGACAGATACAAAACGTATGTACAGACAGCTATCAAATTAAAGGGAAAATGGTGTCTTAGTCTCAGAGCAGCTTCAGTGTGCCTTTGCACTTGTTCTCTAAGTCTCTGTTACTCTACTGGAGGAATGAACAGCACTCTTCCAAAGGATATTCCCTCATTCATTGTTCTGATGACACCATCCACCATTTCTCATAGGTGTTTAATTGGGTTGAAATCTGGTAACTGCAAAGGCCATAGCATATGATTCACTTTCATACTCATCAAACCATTCAGTGACCTCTTGTGCCCTATGGATGGGGGCACTGTCATCCTGGAAGAGGCCCTTGCCTTTGATAGTGACAGCTGTAGAGAAAGAGAGGGGATAACACGCAGCAAAGGGCCACAGGTTGGAGTCAAACCCATGACCACTGCAGCAAGGACTCAGCTATAGTACAAGCTCTTCCAAGTGTGCCACCAGGGCGCCCCCTATTCAGCATTTTAATACATGACACAGAGCATGATTGGATGTTAACTGCTTAATTGTACCATAACATGGTACCTGTGTGGAAGTGTCTGGATTTGTTATGTTTCTCCACTCATTTATTGAGTTTTTTTTGTCATCTGTATGAAGGACATAATTCTACATATTCGATGCTCATGTCTCACTTTGTGATGAAAAGCAGATGTTAAATTCATAAGATTTCTCCAGGAAATTAATGGCAATCAATGCACTGTCCAACTAATTGTGTACGTGAGTGTGTGTATAATCTTGCTTTATGGTACCCAGGAAAGAAACAATCATCTGCACTGTTTGATGCATTCGACTCTGATGAACACTTATTAGTTGCACACATCTTGAGGGCTGTAACGCTCATACAGGGCTGGACTCTAACTTCAACACAACATGACCGTATTATTTTAATTGCTACTGCTGCCTGTCAGCTAAGTGTTGCCAAGAGATGTAATTATGTACAAACATTCATGGGATGCCAAAATGATTTATTCATGACCTGTTCTGTAACATCTCTTACATGCCTGTTGATGTTTTACTAAATGAAGGTCCCAGTGGGTGAGTGACCTGTGTTGTGACCTGTAATGGAGCCGACACAGATGACGCTTTTTCTCTCAGTCCCTGGTACGAATATTAGTGAGCTAAGATATCAGTTTAGTGATACTGATATTTGGCAGCCTTTCACTAATGTCATGTAATTGGTGGATTCAGATAAACCATTTAAAATTGTGTGTGACTGTGACTGTGTGTGTGTGTGTGTGTGTGTGTGTGTGTGTGTGTGTGTGTGTGTGTATACGTGTGTGTTTGCTGCTGTCCCCTGCTTCAGTTCAGTCTGGAGGATGACATCTGGAGGTCATTAACAGTCATTGCAACATTTTCTCATTCTCTCTCCCTCTGCAGAGGTGAACGCTCAGCAGTGAATTCAGTCATGTGAAAGTCACACCAACAGCAGTTTGTTCAGTCATCCAACTATACATTCCTCCCGTGCAGCACCTTCAACACACCTCTCGGGAGAGCAACATGGCTAAAAATGTGTCTAGGTAGCACATGAAGTGGTTTAATATCATTTGTCATCAGGCAGTGTTCAATATGTAATCAAGTCAATTTTAAGACAAACATATGTACACATACATACAACTGTTTCAAGTGACCTTATTGTACTTAAATAGTATTTTTCCACCACTACTAGTGTCACTGTAATATTTTTGTCCTGACATAGTTTCACACTGCTGTTTCCACTGTGTAAATGTTGCTTAATATTGCAGTATTAGTGTAGTTGTGTGCTGTGAGGGACATTTCCAAGCTTGTGTAAGCTGAGTCCGGTGACGCTGCCGACGCGAGAAGATTATTATATTATGGTGCTTAATCTTGAATATAACACACCCAGCCACATGCAGGTGTGACTCCTCTAGCTGTTGATCACGTGGTTCTCATGATACGTTCAGGGGTCCGTCCAGTTGAGTCTGTATCAGGAGCTCCTTTGAACTTGAAGAGTTTTTTCTCCAACACACAGTACTACAGTCACTTTGATAAAGATCAATTTATTTGATTTATTCAGGAGAGTCCCCTTTCACACCAGAAGCTGCCCATAACATCCAGAGTCTGATCTGCTGGTCACTGCAGCAGCTGAGGGTTAAGGGCCTTGCTCAGCAGTGATTCCACCACAACAAATGTATATGTACTTGTGGAGCAGGCCAGTTGTTCCCAACCTGTCAGCCTTGTGATCCATAAAACAAAGCAATCACACCTTGTCACTGGTTGTATGTGTCTACTAGTTGTGAAAAGTATGTTTCCTCCTTGTTCTAATTACTAATGTAATTACTTTCTAAAGGTCTAGGAGATTAAACTAGAAACACAGCAAAGATGGCAAGAAAAATGTACAAACACTGCTTTAGTAGTGCACTGTGCCTAAAAAAAATTATAAAATGTATTTTCTGTATCTGGTAATTATCTGCTAGTTGTGTATCTCTAATATAAGAGCAATACAAAGCACAATGTAATCTCCTTTTAGTTCATTTCTTGTTTTTCTTCTTTGTTTTCTTTAGAAATATGCAAGCAGAATCCTAAATGGGCAGATTTCCGACAGCACTTGAAAGCATCACCTCCAACACAATCATTCCAACTGTACAGCAGCCCCTTTAAGAACCTCATGGGTGTGGAAAGGGGGAAGTTTTCAGTGAGTCCATAGCCAGTTGGTCACGTCCCATTTAGCTTTGTGTTAGGCCCTTTGTAAAGAGGCGGGACTGAAGGATGTGTACGATATCTGTGTTAAATAAAATACACATTTACTAACACATATCCAGTGTTTTAATAGCCCACTGCTGACTATACGAGTTAAAAACTGCTTTCAAGGCAAGGCAAAAGGACAGAAGGAGCTTTAATTAAAGTGTGAAACATTTCGGAATGGGACGCGTCCAGCGGGATTCTAGCCGCTCATCTCATCACGACACAGCAACAAGGAAAAAGTAGCAAAGAGGACCAGGATACAGTTGAATTACAAGTTAAACAGCGCGTCAGGGCGAGGAAAACGGGGAAGTGAGTCAAAACCGCCCTCTTCACTGTTCAGCGCACTTCATATGCGAGCAGCGGCCGCCGCAGGCTCCCACGGACACCATGGTTCTTGCTCCTCTGTGCAGCCGCCTCAACCCAGGAGCAATGAGCACTGTGCGATAGTCGAGCGTAGGCTGCGTGGCTCACTCAAACCAAGTCAGTGCTTCTATTGTCTGAAAGCCAGCGGTGTAGAAGATGGGGCATCCTCCTCTGGAGTTCAGTGACTGCTATCTGGACAGTCCAGAGTTCAGAGAGACTCTCAAGTGTTATGAGCAAGAACTGGAGAGGACGAGCAAATTTCTCAAAGAGTTGATAAAAGATGGCAACAGTGTGATCACTGCAATTAAAGGTAAGCGCATCTCACTTAAAGCTCTCACTTTTCTTGCGCGTTGCATGTGAATGTGGTGGTGTGCTGAGGGCTGGACAGAGGATCAGCATCAGTGGGGCCTTTTTTTAAGGGCCTCCAGGATCAATGTGGGTGGCTGGGAGAGGCACATTCAGGGAGGTGCTAGTGCTCCCCTGGGAGAACACCAAACAGCTTTCTTAGAGGGGCCATTGATCTGGTGCAGATGTGCAGGATGACCTGCTCAGTTTGTCTCCAGACAGCACAAAAGCTTGTCATATTTTCTACCAATGTGTCACTTTTCCACCTCTCCTCTGTGTGTGATGTGTCCTCTCTCTGCTGCTGGTTGTAGAGTGGGACCAGTCCCACTGATAGTATGGAGCAGAGCCAATGACAGCAAGCAGTAGATGTGTATATTTGGGTCAGTGTGGCACCCATGGGGGGGGACACACACTGGTTGTTCTCTCTGACTCCCCAAGATACCATTCTGCTGTCCAAATCCGCAATGACAAGCTTTTCACCTCGCAAACAGTAAGTGTCATTGTAGGTGGTGTAGTAGTGCTGCAGAGTGTGCACTGTATATTCAGTTCAGATAATAGCCCCCGAGGTCACGAGTGCTGGCTGTTGGGGTAAACTGCACCAAGGGATATTCATGAAAGTCACATTTTTATCTCAAGTCCCAATGATCAGGACTCACTGCTCATGTACTGCAGAACTCTTTCACTTTAAACACTGATCTGCAGCCAGCTCTAAATGTGCTATGTTGCCCTTTGTTTACAATAAAAGCTTTTATAAGGCACAGTTAGAGGAAGAATCTAAAATAAACGTATTAAACAGAAAACACAGTTTGGAGATGGAAAAATATGTGAAACAATTAAAAGCTTGAAAACGGAGGGATTTGAGAGGGGATTTAAAAATATGATACTAGATAAGGTAGCCAAGTTCTTCAGGCCTAATGCCCTACAGTATTGATTCTGACAGACTTGTTTTGTTTTGATAATACAACCCAGACATACCAGGGATAATATATTGCATAGACCGCATACTGGCTGCTGTTGTATTGCCGGACCCTGCCAAGGATGTCTTTGATACTTTAAACTTTCCTACCAGAGGAAAAAGGAAACCGCACAGTTACAATAATCCTGGCTGCACTCACGCTCAAGAGAGTTGGGCTGAATTTAAAGAACCATAATAAATTGTGTATTGCGTTTTTTATTTAGGTTATTCCTTGGCGGTACAGAAGTTTTCGCAGACTCTCAGCATGTTCCAGTTCGGCGTCATTGGCGACTCCCTGACAGATGATGAGATTAACATTGGTAAGATAATGCACACATGCTCCTTAACACAAAGTTTATATCTACTGACTATTAGTCATGGTGATGAAGTGACTGTTGGAGAAACATTTCATGCCTTACTCCCTCACTGTTTACTAACTAATTAATAATATAATCACAATAAGTTGATGTAAAAAGGCTTCCCCAACTTGACCTCCAGTGGAGAGGAACATTTTTGGCAGCCTCTCGGTAATTCCTCACAATATGAGGAACCAGGGGAAAAAATGGTTTAGAAAAACAGAAACCTCTGTCTGAGAGCTTAATGTGGGTTAGCAAGTTTCTTTTTTATTCCTTCTAAATGCGCTTCCTGCGTCAGACGGTTAAGATAAGAATATGCGAAGTCTTTATTCCGGTCATCATCTCCTTGTGTTTTCATCCCCAGCTCAGTCGTTCCAGGAGTTTGCTGGACTCCTGCAGGAAGTAGAGCACGACAGGATGATGCTGGTGGGTTATCAACTTCCTCCAAGCTCTGACTCTGCATCCTATTTGACCCCCTATTAGATATTAGAACCACATTAACATATCCTACACTACACATTAGACCGTTTGGCAGACTGCTTCTGTTATGGATATCTAACTTTATGTTTGTTATGATGTATCTGATGAATCCAAATATGTTCTCACAAGACACATCCACACACCTGGACGCTGTCTGTAAATATGTTGCCTTGTGCATGCTTGTTAAAACGAATGCTGCTAATTATTCTGCCATCTGTTTCCCTCTTGGGTTTTCTAGTTCTCTTTTTGTTGATGGCTCTACTTTGCCTACATGTTGATGCATTTTCATGCTGTTTTCACCACTTAAGCTGCTGCTGCTGCTGCTGCTCACACACTCAATATGTTATTCTCTAGTGTTCTAATTAAACAAATTTGCTTTATTTTCATTGTTTATATTGTCATTTCATACAAGTTCTCCATCATATTTTATCTTTTACCAAGCCAGATAAACTCAAAAAATATATAATCTTCTTTGTTGCATCGTCCTGCTTTGCACTTCAAAAAGTCATTCCGAGTAGAAGTTCCTGTCAGACTGGTTTTTCTGGGTACAGATCTAATTTTTAGACTGGAGGTCATCTGGTAAACTCTCTTTAACACGTTCTTGTCCCACAGATAACCTATTTTATCTTCAAGCTACCAGTTCCACTGTGTGAGATTATGTCCCACATACTGTATGCCAGTACAGTATGTGTGTGTTTGTGTGTGTTTATGTGCACTGCAGTCACGCCTGCTCCATGTTTGTCTGTCCAGGTTCAGAACGCCTCCGATCTGCTCATCAAGCCGTTGGAGAAGTTCAGAAAGGAGCAAATAGGAGTAACAAAAGTGAGTGTTTTTTTTAACTGATTCCTCTGCTCTGTAAGTGAACTGTGGCTCATTCCTGTGAACAGAAGTTAGTTCTTCCGTCCGCACTGGAACAATGCTCACAGTTCAATCTGTTTCTATGCATGGAGAGTCACATTATTATCTTCCTGTGCTTCTTACACACACCAAACAGGATGTTATAAGTTACTTCTCCAAATCTATTTATGTACGTGAGAAACATTATACAATAATATGTAGGCATCTTCTTCCTCCTTAATTTTTAAGACTCTTTGTTGGAAGGTAGGGTGTTCCCGTGTGCTCCTTCAACAGCTTTTTATTTAGCTTTAAAAGTCATCCGGAAACTGAGATGTCCCCTATATTCAGCAATATTCAGATTCCAGATGACTTGGAAAATGACTTCATATGAAAAACACCTTCAAAAAATCTTATAATGTACAACTTATCCAACAATGTTTTTGGATTGTTCCAATGACTCAGTGTAGGAAACCACTGCAGCTCATTCAGCAAAAAGGATGTACTGGTTGAGAGGATCAGCGTTTTATCCAAAACAGAAGTGGTATCATGTCCTTTACATTGAGAAATTACATGTGAGAGAACAACAGTGGAAGAGTTCAAAATGTAATTTGCTAGAACAACCCACACCCCTATCGGATGAACTTAAGTACCCTTTCATCAACACCACCCGCCATGTTTCACGTGATTATTTGAATTGATTTTAAACTCTATGTTAATGAACTACTTTAAGGTCAGTTTGTTCTAGTTTACAGTGGTAATACTGCCTCTTTGAGTGGCAAATGCAGAATATTTCACAGTTGAGGCTATCCATTACGTATAGTTTTGCCACCGTTTATCCAGTACATAACTGTTTCAACTGTTCATCCACTTTGCTTGTCTATTTTTTGTAAACCATTTGTCAAATACTTTTAGTTAACTATTCTCACCATTTATCAGTTATTACTTTAAACCATTTAAACAGTAATATTTTGGCTGTTTATTCTTTACTTTCAGTAAATTATTTCACTATCCATTCTTTTTTGACTGTTTAGATCCTTCTACTCACATGATAACTAGTTTACACACTCAATGCAAAACATGTTGTTTAGATGTTGTAGCCGGCTCAATAAGAGGATATATTTTGTATTTTTTTTAATTCATTTGTAATTTAAATTTTTAAAAATTAGCTGAGCTACTCTACAATTTCTCCAAATACCTCGTGGCAACTACAAAGGTTGCACCTACTTGGGAATCACTGAGCTAGAGCAATAGAAATATGTTGGTCCTGGTGCGTATGTCAGTTGATAAGTAATAAGCAATTCCTGTACAGAAACAGTACATATAACAGTTAAATATCTTGCTCTGTACATGTCTTTGCAATTATTCCTTAAAAAAAGTAAGGAATCAAAAATATTTTTCAGTGTAAAACAAAATATATATATATTGGCCATCATTGTTGAATGTTTTAAGTTCTCATATACTGATATCAGCCTGAAAAATGCAGTGCTGACCTTTTATAATGAGCTTAAAATGAAAGTATTGTGAATATTAGTGTCTGAGCCAGGGACAGGATACCTGAAAACTTGTAAACACTTATTAGTTTTTCAGTCAAGCTATGCCAGAAATAAAAAAAACACTAACTTGATTTAATCTCCACATAATCATTCTGTCCTGCAGGAGAAGAAAAAGAAGTTCGAGAAAGACAGTGAAAAATATTACTCCCAGGTGGACAAACACCTGAATCTTTCCGCCAAGAAGAAAGAGAGTCAACTTCAAGAGGTAATGTACGGCGAGTATTCATTAGTGTTGGTGTATGAGAGCGACAAAGAGCCCGCTGCTTGAAATGTCCTTTTTATTTTGTCTTACTACAGGCTGATGAACTCCTAGACAAAGAGCGAGTGAACTTCTACGAATCGTCAGTGGATTATGTGTACCAGATTCATCAGGTGCAGGACAGGAAGAAGTTTGATGTGGTGGAGCCTGTGAGTGCTGCCTGTGGTCTCCCACTCTTCCTCTTTGCTACAACACCCAAGTAACAAGAGATTGAGGAAATGTATAGTACACTTTAGAAGAAAAACCTGACGTTACACTACAAAAAAAAAAAAAATCCAAGTAGTCAGGCATGCATTCTTTATGGCAGCCGCTCCTTTGTTTTGGCTCTTTTCAAGAGCAGTCTTAAGTATGTCTTTCATGCTTTGGTTGGACAGGTGCTGGCGTTTCTTCACAGCATTTTAACGCTCAACAACCTGACAGTGGAAATGACTCAGGACTTTATGCCTTACAAGCAAGAACTGCAGCTCAGCTTGCAGAACGTAAGTGGTTTTACTGGCCATGAATGATACCATTAGTGAGATAATATCCTTTAATTGGACGTCTATAATATTCTGTGCCGTCTGGTTTTTGCCTGCAGACAAGAAACCACTATGAGAGCACTCGTGAGGAGATGGAGGAACTGATGAAAAGAATGAAACACCCATCCCAGATCTGTAAAATGCACAGTTTTCTGCCAATGGAGGGTTATCTGTACTGCCAGGAGAAGTGTAAGTGCACTCAGTGTTTATACAGAAGCTTTGGTACTTGCTTGAATTCTCTCTGACAAGGCCTGTCCTGTTTTTGTTTTGTTTTTTATCCGAACAGGGGCTTTGGGCGTGTCATGGGTCAAATATTATTGCAAGTATAACAAGGAGGGGAGACTGCTGATCATGGTGCCCTGTGAACAGAAGACCACAACTAAGCAGGTGCTCCACTGCAAAGAAATATGCAACATCTGTGTTCCTGTAAAACTCTGACATCTACAGTATTTATAGCCAGTTTACATCCTCAGACTGCTTGATCTGCTGTCATTGTCTCCCTCACTCCTACCTCTCCACCACTTTTCCAACTTTGCCTCTTTCCCTGCAGGGCCCCACGCAGCTGATGCTGAAATCCTGCATCCGCCGGAAGACGGAGTCCATAGATAAGCGCTTTTGCTTTGACGTGGAGACAATCGAGAGGTTAGTGCAAACAAATCTGAGAAAAAGAAACTGTGAGATGAGGCAACACGAAGGCCCTGTGGGATAAACAGGTGAACAGGTGGTTTACAAGGACAGAGTGTGAGGGCTAAATGGACTGTAGCCCAAACAATCCCTAAGCAACGGGCGCGCGCTGGAAACAGATGGCAAACACCGTGATTTCAGGGGAAGGAACACAACAAGCTCATATTTATATAAGCAGGCCATTCAGTACAAATGCATTTTAATAGACACTTGAGCCATAGGCTGCTCTGTCATATCCAGGTTTCTTGAAATTTGTCGCAATACTTACAGGGTCTTTTTAAAGGTTTAAAAGCTGCTTGAATTATGCATTAAGTGCTTGAAAGTGTCTCTGAATGTTGAGCAACTAATATGTACCAGTGTGTGAACTGAACAACAACATAATGAGGAGTTGGCTGTTTGATAAACTGAAGGTGGCAGTGCTGTCTAGTGTAGAAGATAACGTTGTCTGTTCAAGCAAGCCATTCGTCCCTGAAATGCTCCCAGTGCCAGGGCCTGACCCTGACCTTTGACTGAATACTCCTAAAGAGCTTACATATTCCTTAGGCTCTTAACGCCCAGATCATTTGTTCGCTGAAATTGTCCTCGTTCCAGTTTGGATGATGGAGAAGGACAGAATACAGTTTTAGGTACAAGAGAATCAGAACAAATGAGGAAAAGCATTCAATCATAGAAACTTATTTGGATCACATTTTGCCAAACATGGCTCGTATAGATATCAGGGTTACCTATTTAACTGTTAAAGTTGACAGAAAAGTTGTTTTTTTGAGGTTTTTATAGTTAGTTTATGAGTGCAGTTGGCAGAAAGAGCTTTAAACTCGTAGCACAGTTGTCTTAGTTAACAATTGATCCAGTAGCCTACAAGCTGCAAAATTTGGCACCAGATTTTGTTGCTTCTGTAGTAGACAGATTGCCACAATTGAATTTCATCATCTCTTTATGCTTATCTTATTCATCTCCATTTATACCTCCCATCATTACCACGCAGGATTTAATCAGTTCACTTCAAAGACACTTTAAGTGCTTGTTATTGTGGTGTTCTTCTTATTTTGTCTCCCCCTGTTTTTGCTTGAAAGATTTGTGTAAGAGTTTGAACAGCGGGCTGAAAGTTCACAATGGTGGGATACTGTAGCACTACATCCTGTGACTGAATAATGTAATTGCAACATTTGCCTCTTTAATGGCACTGTTACTGTTTCCATAGAAACACACCCGTCACTTTCCAGGCTCTTTCGGAAGGAGACAGGAAGTTGTGGATGGAGGCCATGGATGGAAAAGAGCCTGTGAGTTCATTTCTCCTCTCATCTCATTGAGAATTATTCTTCTCCTAGATTTATGATTTGTGAAAACTGCTTTACTGCCAAAATTTCTCCAATCTAATATGGAGTCAGCTACCGAAGAGGGTGTTGACATGGCCACTGGTTATTGTGCGAACACATAAAAGGCCAGGTTCCATCTCCAATCTGCATGTCAGAGTCTCTAAAGCTGTTTTTCCTCCTTTTTTTATGAATAAAATCTCCTTAAACGTTGGCAGCAGTTGTTAATTAAAGTTAGTTAATCTCAACCTATTTATCTGAAGAAGCTACCGTTATCAAAATGTCCTTTTATTGCTTCTTAATTGGATGACACCAATTTTTATCTTCATAAAATCAGTCTCTTAAACCCTGAAGATTGAAAACAAATGAGAGGGAAAAAAACTTAATTTGTTTAGTTTGCTCGGAAACATTATCGTGGCACGTGACGGCTCACATTTGATATTTGTAAAGCACTGCAGGATGTATGCATGGCTGACCTCATTATGCTCTCTGTATTACAAATGTGTGAGAGATGGTATGAAGTTTGTTGGCAAACTAAGCCTCAGTGTGTGACTAAATGATGGCACTTGGTTACTCTAAATAGCCCCTTCACACCATTAGTGATTTTATTTTTGCTCTTGTAATCATGTTTGGGTATTAGGGTTCGCACCTGTTGTCTGTCTCTGTGTTCAGCAGTTTTAATGCCATGAAACACCAAATTGCCGTACAAGGAAAAATTTAAGACATTTTAAATTCCTCTTTTGGTTGAAGCTTTAAATAGTATTTAGCTTTCAGTTGTTCAGGTTTAGTGGCAGATGTCGTGTGAGTTGTGAATAAAACAAATCAACCATCACTAAGGATGTGAAAATAACAGAAGGCACATTTTTCAGTGACCTCTTCCTGTGAAACTTCCTTAATGACTTCTGTATATCGTGCATGTTTCGCAAGAGCTTTTCCACCCACTTTGCCCAAATCTTCTCAAGCAAAGATCTACAGCACTGCGCTGCTGCCAGGTCTGCAGACTCTCTGAGCTTTCAGTCTGGACAAGCATCAGCTCTGTGGTGTTCTGTCAGAATAATCTTTTGTGTCACACAGACGGTGTCGACATTATTACGCTCTGTGTGCTCTTAAGCCATTTTGGATAGCTGAAATGTAAGGTGCAGCACTGCTTCTTCCCCGCAGTCATATGGACACTTTATAGTAGCTTATATGGACCGCCATAGTGCAATATGTCTGTGCATACTGTAATGTTTTTCAACATTGGGATGTTTCTATGCATACTCCATATTTTGAAACTTCCTCATGTCTTATTGTTAGTCTCTTGAGCCCAGAACCAATAGTTCCTGTTTGAAGCCACAATTACAGTGTTTTTTAACCATTCATGTTACCTCTGCTTGCTATCTTGCCATTACATTTTAGCTTGTAACTGATCATAGATGTATTAGCGTGCTGTGTTCATGCTGATACTGAAACAAAATATTACAGGGAATGCAAAGCTTTTTTTAAATTACATTTTCAGTTTTTTCATTCTAATATTTATCAAATAAAAATAAAAAAAGGTACTTTCATAGTTTCAGAACCACTAACTTAGAGTATTAAGCCAGCTTAAACAAGTAGTTAATAAAGAAATGTAATCAGCCGTAGTAATTTCAAGTAATTTTTCTAGAAAAACTGACAAATATAGACAGATTCCAGCTTCTCACACATACATTTGCCGTCATTTCTGAAGTTTTGTGCCCGTTATAACCATCCCAAGCAGCTCTTGAAATTAAATCAGGCTGACGCCTCTGATGGTCTTCACAGTCAGCCAGCGGGTTCATTACAGTTCTAGTTCTAGTTCAAGTCTCTCTTTTGGCAAATGTGTCACATCTCCAAACCAAGAAGTGGTAGACATGTATGAACCTGCGTGCCAAATGGACAAATGCACCACTACACTTACAAGCCCCCTTTTGTGCACTTTCCACTGCAAGTTAAGACTATTTGGCATTACAGTGTAGGAAAAAATAGAAGAATGCTTACATGGTCCTCTCCAAATTTGCCTGAGCAATAGCACATTGTGGCCATTTCATTTTCATTTTTAGCCACTGAAATGAAAAAATAATCATTCAAATATTGAGGAAGCTGTCTGTAATTCTATAATAATTTTTCTGATGGTAGCTTCATTATCTTTGCATCCATAGGTCAGATTTCTCAGTTCTGAAGCTATCACATGATCTGATTTTCATATTTTGAATTAACTCATTGCCATGTGAAAATACAAAATGTTTAATAATAAGTAATTTCCTCCCAAAACAAAGCAGAGAATAAAGTAGTCACTGGTCTATTCTCAGGTCTAAATGAATAACGGGGCGAGACAGTGATATTTCACACTTCAACAGCCTGTGACAACAAATCTCCAGAACAAACACCCTGCTGAGGAGTCGTTGAACAAGACTCTACTGTCTCCAGCTGCTCTGAGGCTGGCCCTGACCTCTGACGTCCGTTACTGGGGAGGGCAACAGAGTAAAAAAAAAACCACAAAACAAAATCAGTTATTCTGGGGGAAGAATTAGACAAAGATTTGATATAAAAACTAGCACATCTGACAGTGTCTGACTGGTCTCTTGAGTTTGATGTCCCAGGTGTGAGTTACTGGGGAATATTATCAAGAATTCTTTCCATTTCTTTGCTTGTTTTTAATTCAGGAATCTTTCCCTTTTTTCCCCACCAGTTAACAAGACCCATATTCTGTCTCTTCACCCTTTTTCTCTCTCTGTTTCCATTATTATTTTCATGTAATTTGAATCTGCTCATTAGGTAAACTGGAGTATTGTGCCAGCAGTGCCATAACAATCTAGGAAACTATCACTGTATCCAGGAAGTTGGTTTCAGTGAAGTAGCATTGTGGCCTCCTGCCATCATTAAGTGTTTTTTTCTTCTTCTCATTTTTCCATTTTAAGAAAGACGTGTTCAGTAATCATGCTGAAATATTCAAGGCCAGTCCCAGATTTGTCCATGTTTCACAATCCTCAATTTCATTTTACATTTTTTTTTTCATTTCAGATTTATCATTCCCCAATTCACAAGCAAGCTGAAAGTAAGTTGGTCGTCATGACCTCAAAGTCTTAAGTTGTGATGTTAATGTTATGAGCTCACTTTACATTTCATGTCACTGAATGCGTCTGTAATCATGTTTTAGTCTTGTCTAAAAATGATTGCTTGCTGTTAAATCTGCTCAGTTTTTCTGCCTTTTTTTATGTCCACAGTGGAACTGAATGAAATTGGATTCAAGTTTGTGCGAAAGTGCATCAACTACATTGAAACAAAAGGTAAAGGGTCTCATTGGAGGTTTATCCCAGCTGCCTTTTAGTTCAGTTTGTTGCCCTCAGGGGGGCGTAGTTGAGTCATAGGTTACATGTTGATGCCACACCTGCAGGCTGCTCTTAGGGGAAAAGTCCCCCTATTAAACACTAGAAGCCTGAAATAATAGTCTGTTTCAGATTGTGCAGAACATTAACCCTCACACTATTATAGACTTCGTGTCTGATTTTTTTTTTTTTTAAGAGAAAGATTTTTGACTATTATTTCTTTAACTAAACCGCGTGTCTGCATGCATGCTAAAACTTTAAAGCCTAATATCTCAAAACGCACTCTTCAAGTCAGATGTAACCTCTCTGGTCACAATACGTTTCTCCACTTGGGTGATTAATCTTACAAGAACGGAATTAAACACTCAGCCCATAATAAACATGTAACTTGACTCATGATCCGAGCATAGGGCGCTGTTTGGTTTCAAACTAAGTGGTTCAATGAAACGTTTATAATCGGGCAAGAACATCTGTATCTTCCTGCTGGCTCATCCACACTCTGAAGAGACGCATGTGGTACATATCCACTGCTCTGTATTTGTCCAGATTACACTCCCCTTTTCTTATTCTACCTCCCCTTCTCCTCTTTCCAGGAGTCAGTCAAGAAGGAGTGTACAGAACCGTTGGCAGCAACATCCAAGTGCAGAAGCTTTTAAATGCCTTCTTTGGTAAGAAAATAAGCCTGTGAAAATCTTCTACATCTGCACGCTCACTGTGTGTGTTCATTGCTACCTACCTCACACCTTACCTTACCTTACCTTACCTTACCTTACCCTTACAACATAACAGGTTTTGCAACATTTGTGAAGCTTGTGTGTATAATTGACGAGGAAATGTCAGCAGGGCGCTGACTCAAGGTGCTCCTGGATCAAATGACCATGCATGATGTGGAAGGTGTTGCTTATAGAGAATCATCACCCGACTGTTCCCTTCAGCTCAGCTGAGCTTTTCTTTTAACTTGTGTCTTTCATTTTTATGGCTTAAAAGTAAGCTGACGAGCGGAGCATTTAGCAGTTTAAGAGCAAGATATTTCTAGATATTCCTCCCAAACACAGAGCTAAAAGAGAGTGAATATTAATCTTACCAGGTGGACTGCTAAAGTTGCTCCGTATCGGTTCGATGTGTAAATAGGCAACTGCTAACAAGTCTGCCATATCAAATTAAAAGGTGTAGGATAATATGTTAGTGTTTTTACAGCTTGCTTTTTCTGCCCCCAATTGGTGAAACACTTTTGTCACAGGTGGAAAATACAGGTGTTAGTAATAACATTAACTATGTTCTATTCAAGTTTCCCAGTAAGCTGTGGCAGTGAGCCAGCATGAACAATAAAAATTGTATATTTTAACAATTTTTGCAATTACCGTAACCCTAATGACTAAATATCACTACAGTGTGATCAATCAAGGTGATAATTTCAGATGGTTTTCTGTTTGTTTTTACATGGAATTATAGACCCCACAAACCCAGGAGATGTGGATCTCCACAGCAGCGATGGGGACATTAAAACCATCACAAGTGCATTGAAGTTTTATCTAAGGTATGTTTGTGTGTGAGTGGACACATGAGAGTAGGAGATATTCATTAGTGGAAAATACTGTATAACAGCATATAGTTCCAGATCTAGGCTGTTGTTTGCTGACATTGTTGTTATTATCAAATCTGAGTGCACGTTGTTCAATTTGTCTCTAGTATGCATTAAATGAAAGTATAATATAATAATGAATTAACTATTAAATAGTTTTTAAGTGGTCACAAGTCTGACTCATTTGAAATTTTGTCCTATTCTAAATCTCAGCTTGATCTTGTCTCTGATGTGTTTGAGTAGATCTGGATCCAGATACACATTAAAGCACATTAATTCAGCCTCGACAGAAGTTTCCCTCTCTGAGTGCTTTCTAGTGTAATTGTGTAACGTGGGAGTGCAGCTTTTTATTTTTCTTGTGTTTGATGTGTTGAGATATATTACATACACTGTGGTCCTGCACTTGTTTACTGGTGACTGTATTTACCTGCAGGAGCTTGTCTGAACCTCTGATGACCTACAGCCTACACAGAGACCTCATTTGTGCTGCAAGTAAGATGTGTTTTGGAAACTATCCAGCCCTGAAATTAGGGAATTTTGTTTGTGTGTTAATGTTTTTCCTCAAAATCCAAAGGTGTGCCACAACATTCTCTTGCAAACACACATGGCATTAGAAAGGTTGCAAGTTGATATCCGTGGTTAGCATGCAACAGGGAGCTTAAATGTTGTCTTTTGTCGTATTTAAGGATAAGTTATACATTTTCTCAGCTTAACAGCCTGTTGGGTTGTATAATCTATAAAGTATAGGATAGATTTCAGCACAAAAAAAAGAAGAAAAAAAGATGCATTTGTACATTAATACAGCGCGGGCTGCAGGTTCAGCAGTTGAACAGTCAGCACAGGGTCAGTCTTAGATAAATCTGAGTCCCCTGTTTGTTTTTATCTGTCACGCAACATCATTGTAAAACAGAGAAGACAACGAGTTTAATAGGCTTAGCCTCATTCTGTCAGGATGTTACAATAAGACAACGGGTGGCTTCAGTTTCCTGGGAATGTCATTCAGTAGTTTAATACTGTTTGTTTTGGAGACTTTCTTCTTAGTTAGTTAGTCTCATGTCATTGCAGTGTGTGGCTGTGCACATTTCTATGCACTTGAATTTTTAATTATGTCGCCATTATGTAAATAATGGCGACATAATAAGTACAATATGCTTATGATTTAGGTCTACTGATGCAGCAGATCAACTGTCCTCATTTCATTACCTTTTAAATTCTTCCACTATATAACTTTGTGCTGTCTGTGCCTCACAGAGTCCGATAATCTGGACTTTCGTCTGAGTGAAATTCATTCACTTACCTACAAACTACCAGAGAAGAATCGGGAGATGTTGGAGATGCTTATTAAACACCTGGTCAAGTATGTGCTGGCATATGTTATTGTGATTTACTTTTGTTAGTGCGCCTACGGGACCTTTTGCTTTATAAACCCAACTTGATGTTTGTTGACAGCGTGTGCAGTCATAGTGAAGAGAACCTGATGACTCCTTCAAACATGGCTGTTATCTTTGGACCCACACTGATGAGAGCAAAGGAGGAGACTGTGGCCGCCATGTTGGATATCAAGTTCCAAAACATTGTTGTTGAGATTCTGATTGAAGACTACAAAAAGGTAAGTTTTCAGAGTAGGCAGCCTTTAAAATAAAATAAAAATGATAAAAACTTCATGTGATAGCATTTTATACCGCTTAAAGGAATGGAGAATATGGTTATTTGCATCTTGTGAAGAGTTGGATAGTATTCATACCTCATGTCTGTACGGTAAAGATGAAGCTACTGCCAGTGGGCTAACTTAGCTTAGCATAAAAACTGGAAACAGGGGAAAACAGCTAGCCTGGTTCTGTCTAAAGGTATCAAAATCCACCTACAAGCACCTCTTTAGCTCAATAACCAACACGTTTAGTCTTATTTGTTTAATCCATACAAAGAGCACAAATGGGGAGTTGTGTGCCAAGCTGTTGTGCCCTTGACCAGTTGGTTTAATGAGATACAACGAGAGCATTGGACAAAGCAAGGCTAGCTGTTTCCCCCTGTTTCTAGTCTTTATGCTAAGCTAAGATAGCCGGCTGCTGTAGCTTCATACTTAGTGCCTCTTACTGTGTGCAGCAGGGGCATTGGTTTGTACTCAGTTGGTATTTGTACCATTTTGATTTCACATTACATCCATTACATCGTTCTGTAAAAAACAGCAGTAATTAGTTTTTTTTCTGTATTTTTATTGTGTCACAGTAACTTTTTTTTTGTGATCACAGATCTTCAGTTATATGCCAGAGGACAGCACCGCCCCACCTGTCCCTCCTCCGCGGATCACCCCGAGAAAGCGGCAACCCATCACGATCTCCAAGCGACCACCTCGTGTTTATCAAGCTCTTAGTCATGAGCACTATCAGCACACAGAGAGTAATTATTAGCCTCACTTGGCCTGATTGTCATCGTCATCCTCATCATTATCACATCCTGTCTGTGCTGAATGTACAGGAGATTATTTTAAATGGTTTTTTTTTATGTCAGAAAGATTTGTACCGAGCACACCTGCAGGGTCATTTATTCATATTTTCTGAAGTATATCAAATTTTGATTTATTATAGTGTATGTATATTAATTACCATTCCAAGCAATTAATTTTAATTTGTCTGAGAATGTCAGAATTGATTTACTGTCTTGTTTCATTCTTAATTGGCTTATCCTTTATTGTTCATAGGAAGTCTCTCTGGTGCTTTTATATTTCAAGTTCAAATAAACTTATCTACTCTACATTTTTTATCTCACATTAGTCTTTTTTTTTTCAGTGCCTCCAGCTAAATCATGTAATTTCCTGTCTGTTTAAACCCCTCATTAAGTGGGTGTAACTCAATCCTCTCACACACTGTGGCAGAGAAATTCGGAGCACCTGCTGCTTGTCCTCCCTGTGTTGTGTGATATTGCTCTTAACTTACTACTTGGTGTAGTGAAATAACCAGCTCTGCATGATTAATCCAAACCTTGGCATGTGCTGTGAATTCATTAACAAATACTTGCTTGCTTGATCTTATACCAAGGGCTGTGCTGGTTGTTGTATTACCAATTAAATTTGTTTTAGACATTCTTTTACACTAAATTCTTATGTTTTTTTATCTTGCACATTGAAAATAATTTGTATTATTTCATAGAGTAAACATTTACGTGTGACCGAGACCTTAGGTTATTGTACTTGAATAGCAAGAACAACATTACATTCTTTAACTCAGTGTGCAGCTGTAGCTGTAGAATCCACTCCAAGTTGCCAGTACCTTGCATTAATCGCTATGTTTGTTTCTTTGTAACAGATGGTCAGAACGACAGCTCTGTCATGGACGGGGAAGTCTCACCGAGCCCCGTTCCCCTGCAACGGACAAAACCTGTAAGCTCTGCTCCTCTCGTTCCAAGAGAACCTCCTCCGAGACAACCATTAATGCGCAGACCAGCTAGCCGTCATGACAGACAGTCAGACTCTGATGTTGGCAAGATAGACGATACAAGGCAAAGGCCAGATTCTTCTGCTGCAAATGGGGAGTCTGGAGTCTATGTGAGCAGAGTACCATCCTTCCAGAACAGGAGACCACCTCCGAAAGGCACATCAACCAACAGAGAAGGTACAGTGAAACCTCTATGTTTGTCTAGCTAAACCTTCCTTAAATCCTGTTTGTTTATAACTAGTAAAAAAAACACTCTTAAAGGTTTTATATGATTTTAAAAAAGTGAGGACCAAGGGAGCTATAGTGTAATGTAAAAATGGAACTCACAGGGGTCTTAAAAAGTCTAAAATCTAACTTGTAGAAACCTGCAGAAACCCTGTAAAAAGCAAACTTGTGATGTATGGGTTAGGTATGTGGGGACATAAAAAAAGAAAATGCCAGCCTGCTGCATCTACTCTAAATTCATCCTTTTTTCCTGTTTACTTGTTTCTTTTTTTGGTTGGTGTTTTGTTGCAGTAGAGGTAATAGTAGTGCCAGTTGGGTTGCTCTTTATCGCGCTGGCTGCAACATGTCCAGCTGCGGTATCTGTGATTTTAGTTAGTTATTAGTCCTCTGTAATTGGTTTTCCTCCATTTCATTTATTTATTTTTGTTATTAATGGTTAATCAAAAGAGTGTTATGTAAGAATTTCTGGTTGTTGATTGAGCAGTCACCGTTAGAGCTTGGTTGCACACAGTCTGCTGATTTAAAGGTTTCTTATTGAGTTATTTAAATAGGTACCTAAGTAGGAAGACAGAAAACAGAAGATCCATGTTGTAGTGTACATCAAAATACACTGAACAAAATTATAAACGCAACACTTTTGTTTTTGCCCCCATTCATCATGAGCTGAACTCAAAGATGTAAGACTTTCTCTCTGTACACAAAAGGCCTATTTCTCTCAAATATTGTTCACAAATCTGTCAAAATCTGTGTTAGTGAGCACTTCTCCTTTGCTGGCCTTTTATTGTGGCTCATGATGAATGGGGGCAAAAACAAAAGTGTTGCATTTATAATTTTGTTCAGTGTATGTTCCCTAACCCATCACAGCATTTAGTCTGTATTGTTTTTTTTTTTGTTGTTCAGGAGATTCTGATGGTCTGGTCAGAACGAGGTCCACGGAGAAACATGCCATTTGTAGACCCCCTGTCAGGCCTCCTGAGCCCCCCTCCAGATTCCCCACCCCACAAAAGACCCCGAGTGCAGCCAGCAGCGAAGGCACGGCCACATCCTAGTAAGTGCTCTTCAGAGATACAAAAGTCTGTCGCCACCTTTTTATGGATACTGTTAGATATGCAAATGCGAACAGGGTCAAAAGGTCCAATAAATGTTCAACTACTAGATCTGCTGTTTTTATTCTTAAGAACAGTAGAACTCACAGTTTAAGCAACCTTGACAGGACGTGCAAATTCCAGTGTGTCAGAATGAGCAGCCTTTAAGGCGTTAGTAGCTGCGATGATCAAAACTATCCAACCAAAGAATGGACACATTGCCTGGTTTGCTGATATCAGGGTCACAATTTGACATTAACACAGTGAAACCTCAGATCCAACCTATCGATACTATAATGATGGTGTCATCATGATGTTGATGAATGAATACAGAAGCTAGATTTCAAGATGATAAAAGGGCTAAAATCAGTATTATTGTATAAACAATGGACTGCTAGTATGTGAAAGTGGGCGTTCGTATTGAAGAACCCACAGAGAATTATCACCCGATTCTGCAGTTTATCTTTAAGAGCAATTTAGTGTCTCTCAGCTCATTGTTTTGGTTTTTACGATCCACAACTAATGTCTTTACTTACACTTGTGTTTGCTGCCTTGTAAGAGGTCTATAAAGCAACATGGCTGTTCTTGGTTTTCGTGGATACACGTAACACCCAGATACGTACTATTTACGTAGAGAGTGGAGCATTAAAAAGGCGCTCTCTAACAAATGATACGGGCTGACTTTTGGATCACAAAGGAAGAATCTTTTATACTAACATGTCAGTTTTCTTCTTTTTCTGCAGTGTTGCCTCTAAAACAAAGTTTTTTGAGAATGCCTCCAAGTAAGTTGGCAGGTATGTAAAAGCATTTTTGCTCCTTTACTTTTGTTCCAGACACTAATCAGATATGCATGTGTTTAATAGTACAGTAGATGAAAGTTAATAAAACCACAACAGAAGTTGAACATAATTAGAATGGCTATCACATGTAACAGCAGAATCTCAGTAACTAAATAATTGTTAAAAAGTCAACTATTGACTATAATTCATATTTGATGCTGTTTGTCACTATAAATCATACCCATTCAGAGCCCACAAAAATAATACAAGTGTTAAATGCCCACCTACACACACACACACTCACTCACTCACTCACTCACTCACTCACACGCACCGCACACACACACACACACACACACACACACACACACACACACACACACACACACACACACACACACACACACACACACACACACCCACATCTGCTCTTTTATGATGGTCACTGCCCTCCCTGCACAGACAGTGATGAAGGTTATAAATGAAGAATGCCTGAGATGAAAGAGTTTGTGGGAGTTTTATCAAAGAGAGTTTATCTCTTTCTTTATTGTAATCTCCAGTTTATCTTAACATGTCCAAAAGGGAGGTTGTGCTGATGTATAAAGCTCTCCTTTGGGCTTTGATTGTTATCCCACAGCTTAAGAAGTTTGACCTTCTGAACAGACTGAATAATATGAATATGGTGTAGATAGATTTAGATCTAACAATTAGTTGAGCCCTCTGAGGATCATTACAGGTGGCTGTACAGTGTAACAATCAAGATAACTTTAGTAACATTTGCTCCAGTCAGCCAGGCATTCACCTCACATTCTGACCTGTTTTGCATCAGACATTCCTAAAATGTTTTTCATACAGTCTGACAGAAATCGCAGTCAATATTTTATTAGACCCATCTCACACAATGTGAGGTGCAATGAAGCTGCAAGATCGCGGTTATCACGCTGTGCATACGGGCAGATGATGGGTGGTCTGGTGGCTGAAACCATAAATGGATTTGTAATTAATTTGCTTTTTCTGTTCTAATCTAGTCCACCGCCCTCTCCGCCCCCATCACCAGTGACAAATGTAAAAAAAGAGGTGAGATTTACTGTAATTTGTTCAGCAGTTTTTATGCTGATTAATCACAGATTGTACTGTACCTGTTAAATTTACTAATTTGTTTCCTCTTTTTTAATGTGTCCTTTTTAATTCATTTGTTTTGTCTCCTCAGGATTAAAGTTAAGGAGACTCTCACATCATGTGACCGCCACATGGTGCTGCTGGGTCCACATCAAGCTGTATGGAGCTAACGGAAAATGAACTCAGTCGATCTTGATTTCATCGGGGTGATAAATGGCTCTCCACAGAAGTGAATGGTTGTATTTGATTCCATTTGTTTTTTAATAGTAAGAATGGTATTGTAAGGCAACACAGTAGCAAACTGACTTTTGAATGAGCTTGCAAACTCATTGGCTCAGTGTTGGATCATTATTCCAAAGTTAGGATGGAGTAACTACTATTCTCCCCCCTTTTGTAATTTTACAGTGTTAAAATGTTTGAATGGCCAATTTTATTGGAGGGAACTAACTGCCATAGCTGGTTATAACACCTTACATAGACGTCTTGTTGTCTGCAGTCTCGATGCTTATTTTTATCATCGTAAAATAGATCTCCCAAAGAAGACTAATTGAATTAAATGGAATTAATCCGTTTAATCATTATTGACTTGAAAATGTGAAATATCAGTCTTAATATTAACTTATATAGATTTTATAAAATGGACCATGTAATAATGATCTGTCAAGGAAATAGATGAAGCAAATTCATATTAAGCTACATCTATCAAGTAATTATTTCCTTGGAAGCCATTTTAGTTGGTCCATTCAAAAAAGTGTTTAGATCAAAATTTGAATTTGAATGTATGTCTGTTGAGACATAATGTGTCATCAAAACATAAGTCACTTTTTAGGAGGCATTACAAAAAGTATTTTGCTATAAAGTGTGAGCCAGTCAATGTAGTTTCAGTTTACACAATGAATATAATGCTAGTGTAAGTTTAATAGGGAATTATTAAAATGAATTGACTGGTGTACATTCCCATACTTCCACACTCCCACGTGGGTAGGTCAGGCTGCACAGGAGACTGCTCAAAGTTTACCTGAATCTGATGCACCTCAAATTAATTGTTGGGATTAAAAAGCAGGAATCAAAACGTATTGTAACAATATATGAAAATAACACTCCAGCTTTGTTTATTTTATTTCTTATGGTTATGGTTATTATGTTATACCTTTTTTTTTCTTTGATAACCCAACCTGAAAATTCTTGTTGTTGTCTGGTTGGATTTGTTTTAAAAAATGAAAATAAAAATGAAAAGTTCTTAGAATGAAATCTTTTAAAAAGAGCTGTGTATTACCGTTCAGTTTTGTGTTACTACATGATGTTTTTTGTCCCGTCTCCCCTCCTCTCTTCAGTGTGCTGACGTTTTTAATCACTCATATGAGTAAATTAAGGTTTTTTTTATTGTAAGTGTTCTCTCTGGGGAGATAGAAGAGTTAACAGTCTGCTTAAAAGATTTATCACTCCTTAATGTGAGGTTAACAAGTCTGTAACTTGGTGCCAGAACCTATGCCAGCCAAGTGCAGGTGCAAAAACAGTTTGCAGAGTTGCATGCAAGCAATTTAAGCAGGGTATATAATCTCACACCTTAATTTAAGAAATGTGTAAGGAAATATTACACATACTTTATATTGACAGTGGCATTCATAGTAAATCAGGGGAATAATGTAAATGTAAAAAACAAACAGAACCTCATGTCATTTGGTTTCATTTAACAGTAGCAACGTCTGCCAACCCAACATTTGTGACAAAGTAAATAGCTTTAAGTTACTCATTCTTCAAAGGTTTGTATGCAGATATTAACCGTTAAAGGTGACATGAGTGTGAAACTGGATGCAAAAAGGTCATTCAAGTCTAAATAGTCCTTATATATCATAAAATAAATACATTATTATTAAAAAACTTTTTTATTGATTAGGTCTGGGTTGAAAATTTGAACTTCTCTGTTTGTTTTATTTGAAATAAAAACATCCAGTTGGACGCATGTAACAGCTGGAATACAAGGGGGCCCAACAATGAACCCTATATCTCAAATTAATGCGAAGAATAAGTTGTTGCCTACTTTTTGCTGAAAATGTTTTATTGGTAAGATGACATTTTATAACATCACCAGAAAGATGAAGAGCCATGCTAGTGTCTCTGTGAGGCCGTAAACAGGCATGCTTTGAGCAAAATGCATGCTCACAATAATGTTCAGCAGGTTTACCATGTTTACGTCTTAGTTTAGCATGTTAGCATGCTAACATTAGTTAATTAGCACTAAACAAAAAGTACACCCAATAGTTGAGATGTTTTACTAAAAGTGTGGGACCCACTGACAGGGTCTTCTACTTTAAAAATATATTCCGATATAATTATTAATCACCTGTTAAAAAATGTAGTCAGTAACCTAAATATTAAAGTAATGTAACTTGATTACTTGCTGTCACTTTTGGATTAGCTACCTCAACACCCAAATATGCAAATAACGATGAGAAGAAAAAATGTCAATAAGAAGTATTGATGTAAATGTATTCTATAAGACAACAGATCAATATAACCTTAGAAAGAAAAATGGTAACCAAGATTTTTAGCATCAAAAATGTGTTCAGTGTATTTTTAAAGATGCATTTTAAAATGGTAATCTCGATAATGCTTTCTTTGATGGGCACAATTAGTCATGTATCTCCACAAAGTTTGGCCTTTATTCATTTCCATCCAAATATCTAGTTTCTACAGGAAATACATACAATTTAAGAAGCAATATATTCTCAAAATTCCAGTTAAATATACATTTAAGACCTTAAGCTTTCCCACCTAAAATATTCCAAATGCAAAAGAGGAACACTGATTTCTACCAATATGCTCTCAGTAATTCAGTATATTTAGGAAACCATCTATTTTAAAATCCTGTTTGCAGTCGGACATTGTATTTATTTTACCATCCGCTCCTCCCACCACATTCCAACCTTCACTGCCAGTCAGGGCCTCGCCTCCTCTCCACAGCCCTTTTTATTCAACATCTACCAACTTGTACCTCATTTTCTAACAACTACTGTATCGGCCTCGGCATTGGACTAAATGAACACACAAGAACAAAATAATGTGTGTTCTCACTGAAGAAAGCACTGTTACTGGATGTCTAAGCTGAATTAACCATGTATTTACTCACGACAAGCTTCTGTAAAACTCAAAAATCTGAATAGTTCCCAGCATATATCTTTTTATTCAAAGAAAGCATAACCTGTTTTTGGAGTTAAAATGATGGAATTCCTTCTCCTATCCTTTATATACTGTAGTTTGTACAATTGCTTGAAACAAACTCGTATGCCGTCCTCAGAGTCAGAATTATTTTAATTGCCTTTAAAAGATGATGCAGCTTTACAATTTTGAAAAACACACAGGTCACAAAAGGTATAAATCATAAAAGAGATTACTTTAAAAGTCAAGTCTTTGGACACCAAAACAGACATTAAACTAATCAATATATACAGTTACTGTAGCATGTACAAATAACCAGGTTAATACGCAGTACAAGGGCACATATTAGCTATTTTCAATTGACATAATACAAACACTGTGGCCTACTATGATTAAACCATATTAGTATTAAAAATGTACAGTGTGGCTCACTGAGGTGTGTGATCCCTTGGCACTGGTAATGCCTTTATGTGTAATACATCAAGCTAAAAAGCATAAAAAAATACAACATTATTTAGAACCAGTGTTCACTTCAAAGATAAATAGTAAAATGATAACTGTAACAGTCTTAAAGTACAGTGCGTTCAGGAAATGTAAGAGGGCTTGATAAATATTTCTGAACGTTTGAATTAGATCAAAATGTAAGAATAATGTGCTTAATTAAAATACTGATGCTCCAAATCATTTTACTGTTTTTGTGCATGCATGCATATATATATATATATCTATATATATCTATATATATAATCTGGCTACTTCTGGTGTCTTAATCAGGCTTCTGTGTAGTTTCTACTTTACACTGAACTGCTGCTTTCTCAAATAACAGCAGACACATTCATTCAAGAGTCTGGGCTATGATTAGCTGTTGGTGGGGTGATGTCTCATGGATCACTTGTATTTGTTCTGGATTCCCTCTTCTCCCCCATTTCTATTCACACAGCAAATATTGTATAAAAAGACGAAGATGAAGACATGAAGACATTCATTTATGTAGATGAAGTACTCCAAACACTCCACTGAAGTTTATCAATGAGTTCCAAACAAACAAATCAGTTACAAAAAATGTGAACCTGACTGTCATAGTCAACTCATCACTGTATACTGTACAACAAAATGTTATCATGCCTTCTGAAGATGTCCCATGCATTGAACAATGATGACATTATCAGTAAGTATACAATAAACAGGTAATTGGAGGGATGCATGGATGTCCATGCATTGCTTTCTGTAAAGCTAAAAATTACATACAGTTGCAAATTTGCATACAGTTATACAAACACATGGTGCATGCATCTACAAGCTTGTAAAACAAATGTGGAATTGTTAAAAAGTGTTGAATTTACAGTTATAAAACATCGCTGCAGAATATACCATAGAAGTTAATTTAAAGTTTTGTTTGAGTTGAATTGTGATAAACACGTTGCTACAATTCGAGTTCATTTACCGAAAGATACTATTTCAAATACAAATGTGATAATCGCATTCAACTCAATTAATTAGTTTTTTAAACATTTTTACTCAAGTCTGTGATCAGTTATCTTCAAGGCATTCCGCAGATTTTTTCTTGGTTTTCATCTCTGAGGTTTTGGCAGGGCCAGTCAAGGACTCAATCTACATCTGAAGCCCTTCCAGTGTTGAGTTGGCTCTAAGTTTCTGTTTGTTGTCCTGTTGGAACATTACTGCCCCAACCTAAGATCTCTGGCACTCTCAATCAAGTTCTTATTCAGCATTTGCCTGTATTTCGTGCCATACTTTCTTCTTTGTTTCTCTTCAACTCTCCCGTTCCCTGCTGCACCCCGCCGTGTCACGATACTTTCAACACCACGTTGTCTAGCAGGTATGATGTTATACGGGTCAAGAGCTGTGTATGCTGCATGTAGCGCAGCACATTTTAGCATTATAATTTTATCAATTCATCTTTTGCTTCTAGTTTGTAATTTGTTACAATTTTTAAGATTGTAGATGGATTGTAAAGACATCTTAATATTTACTTATGAATAACTTTGAAGCTGTGGAGTGGAGAAATAAAGAATGAAGAAACTTCTTAACAAATTGTCCAATTTTCTCCAACTTCACTCATGCCAGGTACCTGCTTTTAACAAGTTTACCCACTACATATTTATAAGTTAACGCTGTAAAATTAATAACATCAAGAAAAAATCTGCTGCCAACATAATGATAAAAGGTGTTAAGTGCAGAGCGACAGTAGGCTAAGCATGCAGTGTGTTGTGGAGATATCTGCATTGTGCTGAGCAATGTACTGTTCACAGGTAAACAATATATAACTCGTTTCTTTCATGGTTGTCTCTTGAAAATTTTACATTATTCTGTACTTTGTAAGAATTTAAACACTGTTAATGTGTATTTGATTTCAGAAGCTGACAAGAGCAAATAAATACTCAATGTGAGGTTTTGTTTGTAGGGTTGCTATCAGACAAAACACCTGTCCTACAACCTTACATGACCTGTCATATTGACCGCTGTCTTCCCCGAAGACAAGGCAAATAAACCTTTGACTATGTGTGAATTAACCCATTTTGAATACTGGATGGACACAGTTTTTTTTTTTTTTGTCAAAAAGTGAGGCACCTGTGTCTCAGGAGGTAGAGCGGGTTGTTCACTAATCAAAAGGTTGGTGGTTAGATCCCTGGCTCCTCCATCTGCATGTCAAAGTGTCTTTGGGCAAGACACTGAACCCCAAATTACTCCCTATGCTGTGACATCAATGTGTGAGTGTGTGTGAATGGGTGAATGTATCATGTTGTGTAAAACGCTTTAAGTAGTCAGAAGACTAGAAATCCACCATATAGTAAGTGAAAGTCCATTTACCATTCAAGTCCATAGTGAAAAACAAATATACTACAGCTGCCTTCGATTGGTCTGAAAGACTTCAGGAGAGTGTGCAGTAAATCAGTGACCCAAAGAGGCAGGAAATATAACTGGGAGGGAATTTTCTGCAAAACCTAGTTGTTGAGAAGCATGTGAGCCCATAAGCGACAATAACAATTATGTAAGTAATTATAACACAGTTGGACTTCCATATGAATAACTGGCAATTTCACTATTTAGTTTCTGTTTCTGCAGCACTAAATTTACTGTACATTTACACAAAAAAAAAAAAAGTCTAATATTTTACACAAAGTATAAGGTAGCACATCAAGTTTATGTTTTACAGTTGGGATCCTTGACTACCATACTTACACTGATTGTCATTGTCATGGCATTTTTACACAAAATGGTGCCACACTTAAATGTCATGCCAGGATTTTAGGATCTAGCCCATTTGATAGAAAGCTTAAAAAAAATTATGTTAAAGTGAAATTATGAGACTTCTTAAAACAAATGTGAGACCTACAGTTCTGATTTTAAGGCACTTAAGCACTTAAATGCCTCCCAAGCTGTATTTACCACTCTCAATTTCACAAGCAGGAACTTAGTAGGTGCCCCTGAAGGCAGCACTTAGACAAACAGATTTTGTTAAGTTGATGGGAAATAAGTATTTGTTTCTTTCTGTTATCCAATCATCATCTTTGGGCCATCTCTCGTTTTTTAGTTTTCATGAATACCTTGTCAAGTGTATTTATAATGCAGGTCACACGCAAATCTTGTGTTGTTAACCCTGCTACTTTTAAGTTGATTTAATCAGGATTTACAGACTTACTGCGTATGTAAAGTAGCATCTCTGCTCCAGCTGAAAACACAAACTCTGCACTCAGAAATAGCAGAGCTGTCAACAGGTGATGCCTTGCAGCGCTTTAGGTAAAAGCTTTTAATAGTTCAGAACAAACTATCTCAATTATGGCTAAAAGGGAAAAAATGATTCCAGGACAGGGCTAGGAGCTATTACACTGAAGATGTAGGGAAACAGTACCTTTTTTAAAGTTTATGGAGGCAGCAAAGATGAGTCACTTTTTGATTTCAAAAGTCCTTCTACTCGTGAAACAAAATTGGTTTAGCCAAACCTGCCAGGATCTTTGGTACATGTACTGAGATTATTTCTCCAATCATCTCTGGAAAGCTGACCTTAGTGGGGAGTGACTGAGCCTGGACAAAAAGGTCAAATGTAAACTGATGGAGCTTCTTTACGGTCTGAAACAGAAGAAACACACAAATAAACATCATTTGAATACAATTTACCAGAAGCATGAAAATATAAGGTACATCCAACTTCCCTAAGACACATGACATGGCCAAAATTTTTATTATAGTTCACTAAAACTAAACTAAAAACTAAAACTTTTGTTTTTACAAAAATAAAAATAAAAACTAGCCTTTAGAAAGGAAAAGAAAACTAACTTAATTGTGTACTGTAAACTAATTAAAATAAAATAAAATATAGAGCAAATGTCTTTACTTTTAGTCTCAATTTGGTTAAATTTGTCAACACAACAAGCACAAGGAGGCATTGCTGCATATGTTTATTGAGACTGGGATGTCTACATGACTGTGTTAGGGTGTTTGTATTGAAAAACTTATTTTAAGATTCTTAAATTTTGCCCCTGACAAACACCCCCCTCATTATAATAATAATAAAAAAAAAACTAATAACGAAACTGATATATATCTAAATAAAACTAAATATTTTTAAATGATAATTCAAATGAAATAAATAAATAAACAAATAAAATGAAAACAAAAACTAATGAAAAATGCCAAAACTATAATAACTCTCTGAAGAGAAAAGAGCTCTGACTCATAGTTACCTCATCCATTAGGTTTTTTTCTACCATGCTGTTAGATTTTAAGGTATCAGATTCTGCTTGAATGCAGCAACTTTCAGTGGGCTATTAAAAAAAACCACAGCATCCCCTGTGATTTAATTGCACGCAGTGCCAAGAACTGTCTTAAGCAAATTAGTAGAATTACAACTCTTGCACCCATATGTTTATATATCTTTCACATAGCTTTCACGATTCAGTCATAGCCATCATCATGTGTACATACAACCACAGTTAACTTGAAATCATTACAAGCGGCATATCTCACCATCTGGAGAGAGTCCAGGAGTCGGGTGAGTTGGTAGAACCTCTGAGAACAATTGGTGGTCATTCGATAGTTAATGAGGCGATCAAGTTCGTTGATGTAGGTGAGACGCAGTTCATCAAAGTACTTCTGACTCTTCAGTCCCTCAACTGGAACTAGTGAACACAGAGAAACAGTTTTGATCACATGCTTAGAAGTTAAATTTCTGACTTTGTTCTGTCTATTGCATGTCGGCTTTTGGGATAAAGTAATGCAGTTTGTTTTGACCTTTTGGTGCTCAGTATACGGGACAGTACTTACGAATGCTGAAGAGAAGCAAGGCCTTCATGCAGAGGAACTCTTCCTGAGTGATCTGCAGCAGCAGGAACTCCTGTGAGAGATGTTTCATCCGTATGCAGTGCTCATACATGGTGGAAATGTGCATCCGATGTCTGCAGATGTAAAAAGGTCAGGGAGAGAAATGTGAAATAATGGAAATGTTCAAATCACCAGAGGTGAAGGACAAATTGCTTTACACCCTGGACATTTATTCTGTAATGAATAACTGCTGAAGAGGAAAGAATGTCAGAGGTTAGAGCCATATCTATTAATGGTGCAATAAGGACAGTGGCAGTGAATTATCTTTATAACAATACAGATTTCTGCTGTGACATCTGCAGCAAGATGTTAAAAACACACGTTGTTACACTATAATCTCTTTCTTTATAATAGGCTTTATAGTTCATTAAAATGTTTTAGTCAATTATATTCTAATATTATAAGAGGTGATAGGATATTTCGTGTTAATCATGCTGGAAACAATCTCCAGTTAATTCAACAAGCATGGGAAGAGAATAGTGGGAGAAAGTTTGCCATCTCTTCCAAAATGAAACGATTCTGCCTTTATTATGAATCAGGAAAAAGACAGTTTGTAACATACTGTGAAGATAAAGGTGAAATAAGGTATATTTAAGGAATTAGATCAATACATTTTACCAACTGCAGAGCGCAGAAAAGAGCTTGAATATAAAGAAAAAGACATGAAATAGAGCTGAATGTTCTCCATCTCACTGGAAATGGATGCCGAGTTTCAGATATGTGGTTATATAAATGTATAATGTACACAGTGTATGACCAATGTATACTATAATTGTCGCAAAGTTTTTGGGTAAGCTCATATAAACAAAATATAGAAACTTGGATGGAAAAGGTCACTGGGGAGGATGTTGTTGCTGATGTTGTTGAATTGACACCCACCTCCAAACACCGATCACAACTACTGTACACTGAGCTGCTGCACTTGCCTTTATCGTGCCATTTAGCCGACAATATGTGACAACAATTTTCAGCAGGTGGCTGACCTTTCTGGCTTGAAACTTCATCAAGTCAGTGTGGAGGCACTGGTGATTTGTAATGGCTCATGAAGCAGAACATCAAAAGTCAGGTCAGAAGGACAACTGACACACCTAAAACAACTAAACTATAGACTTAATGTAAGTTTAATTAAAGGGTTAGTTCAATACTTTGGGAAATTAACTTTCTTGCAGAGAGTTGGATGAGAGATTCAGCTCTTATGTCTGTCTGGTAATTGTACGACTAAAGCCAGCAGCCATGTATTAGCTTAGCTTAGTGTAAAGACTGGAAACAGGGGGAAACAACTAGCCTGGCTCTGTCCCATGTTAACAAAATCTGCCAATGAAAATCTGCTTCTGCATACACACCAGTGCAACCATCGTGTATACATTTTTATGAACTGTCTGATGAGATACAGTTTTCAGTAAATATCTATTATTTCACATGGAAATCTATCTTGTTATAATAAAACTGATTAAACCAGATAACTGTATGGTTGATGTGATGGGTGATGGTGTTTTATGAAGGTGAAGTATATAAGTAGTCTACACCTGCACCTTTTTTCAATCTTTGAATCATTCCTAATTTCAGTCTTCAATTACTATGACTGCGCCTGGTTTTTGCCTATTTAAAAGGACAGACTTGGCTGGCAGGAGACGGTAAGCAGCTAATTTAAAAGATGACAAGGAGCCCTTCAGTCCATTAACACTTCATGCTAAAATTTCTTTTTTCTTTTTCTTTTTGACTTATAAGGCTTCCACCAGCCATAATTCAGTCCTCAAAATCTGTACTACTGATCCACCACACCTTGAAAAACCACTCAATAAATCAACTTCCATCGTGACATCAAAACTTTTTTTTCTTAAGTAAAGGTTGTGGAAAATCAGCGAGAAACACTAAAATCTCCCTGTAGTCATATCCTAATACTTTCACCTTTAATCTGTTGGGGATTCCCTGATGTTTTTTGCCTGTACTAAGCCCAGTGCTTACACGTAGACAGCTAGAAAAAGGCAAACTGTTAATATAATATGCATAACTATGTTTTAATTAGTGTTTAATCACCTGAAAATAAGAATCATTATGTTTTTGTTACCTTAGAATGAGCTGTTTTAGGTCACCTTTCATGAGGCCGCCATGTTGAACCACTATGTTCTTACAGTAGCCCAGAATGGACAAACCATACCCTGGCTCTAGATTGGGACGTGTGTTTTGTGGCCACTATAGTTTCTCCTTTGTGTTTGGAAGGGGAGGGTGAGGCAAGGGAGTTGTAATCTGCAACTACACCGCTAGATGCCACTAAATCTTACACACTGATATAAAATAACAGTATATAGAATATATATTAGTTTATTCTACTAAACTGACTGAAATCCTATTAACAACTAAATTAACCATTGCTTTCTATCTTTGTATGACCACTGTGTAATCTGTGTTTTGAACACACCATCTGTTAAATCTCCAGATGGTCTAACTAATGGATTAAAGAGTCTAACTAACTTGCAACTATAAGAAACACTGAAACAAAAAAGGGACAAACAAAAAAACTCCAAAACAGATCGCACACAATTATTGGTTATGTGTCACAAAAAGATTTGTATGAGCACAGATATGTATGCACATGGTAAATACAATGATGTGCAGGAAATGCATTAGTGTACACATAACTATTATATAACTACCAAAAATAATCTGAATTATATAGTTTACTGATTGCTGCAGGAATTAACCTAAACAACAAGTGGATCTGGTAATGTCTCCACGATGTATTGAATGTTGATTCCACCTGCCAGGACAGACACTCCCATAGTTTCACAATTTGTCAAAAACTTTGCTGCTAGTTTGCATTATGATTGTGGTGTCACATTCAGGAACAGTTAAAACAGCAAAAAGGGAAAGAAAACAACACACTAATGGACTTCCCTCATTTATTAAGTGACACAGTTTGGGTTTAGTGGACCAAACAGCATAGAGCTGTCTAATATCTAAATTCTACATATAATTAAATGCAAATAGCTTAATGTACTTTTGCCATGTTAAACCTTTAGTTAATTTTCATATTTCCTTTTTATACACTTGGCTGCTCGGATAATTTAAACAACAAACTTTTGTTAAGCTTTATTTATTCAGTGCAGGTTTGCCTGTGTGCAAATGCACTTTTTCAGCAAGTCAATGTCTCACGCTCACTCACACAGTTACAAAATTGTACTTGGGAGCTGCCCAGTTTGACGACTACTGTCTGTCAGTCACTGAGCAGCTTCCGTGGAGCGCTTTGAGTTTTGTTGTTCATTAACTTCTCTGACCAGATTTATCCTGCCAGTTCAAGATCGAGCCAGCTACCTTCCAGTTACAAGGCTACAAGGCTAACCCTCTGGTTATATTCATAAATATAAATTATTTTGGACCACCTTTCAAATTTATCCACCTGTTCTTGTTCTAAGGACTTACATCCATCATGATAGACTTTTTTGACTTTTAATACATTTTGAGATCTATTATTACAACCAACTGTGATATGCAACATGGACAGATGTTAACACATCATAGTCTTGGCCTATGCCAACTGATCTTAATTCTAGATGTATTATCTGAATCAATATGAATATATATATACTAAATATAGTATAAATAAATAAATATATACTAAACAGTATTTATCAGCACCAAACTTCAGTTAATCAGTAAATGTAAATGTGATTAAAATGTAAAAACTCAATTCCTGTATGGGAGTATAACTAAAATAGTTTTGCTGTTCTACATAATACTTTTCTAAAAATATGTAGGAAAATATGATGTGTAAAATATCCTGTATGCTGTATATCATTACAAATAACACAAATAACCAAAATAAGATCAACTTACATTATTTACTTCCACAAATCTATGGCAGTAAATATTTGATGGAACTAAGGGAAATAAGGCCATTAATATTCCTCCCTAACACTCGAACAGACCTCATCACTGTTGTTGTCTGTCATGAATAATATTCCGATCTGAATCAGCGTCACTCACCAGGGCCGTCAGAGTTTGAATGCTGAAAACGAATGTTCCTCATTTTAATCTCACAGTAACAAAAGAACACTTAAGGAAGAAATTGGATGGACATGGTCCCAAAAAGCCTGTAGCCATTCCTACTTCACATTTATAAAATTCTAGAGATTTCTTTGTATTTGTGGATGAGCAGGAAAGCAAATGAGAGAACGACAGAGAGAGAAAGAGATGAAGACAGAGAGAAACTGGTGGATGATCTCTATAGAGCACAGTGTGTTGGTCACCCCCTGATGAAACCATTCTGCAGGACATAATTGAATTCAAGAATTGGTATACATACTCATTGAACACAAGATCCGGGGCAAAGTAGAGCATTCTGCTGTTGGCGTTCTTATAGGACCTCCATCCCAGGGCAAACACCATCACCCCCATCCATGAATGCTGAATGACAGTCATTTGGTCATCCATATGGAGATTTCTAAAACCTAAGGACAAAGATTCAGCATCATAAAATATGGCACAATACTGCAATATTGCAGTTCAATCAAATTGAATCAGAACACTGCTGCCAGAGTGCTGAGAAGGACCAGAAGTTTTCATAATTATTTAAAAATGATTTTGCTTCTTTTAAAAACACTTTATGGTTTTACACTAAGACTCTCTATGTATGTATGAACCAGGAGAACCCGTCAGCTCCTCTGGCAGGAGTCTTTTAGCTGTTCCGAAGTACAGGACAAAAATGTTTGGTGACGATCTGAGAGCACTGTTGATATCTTTAAACATAAACATAAAGCCAACTATTTCAGCCTGGCTTTTGATTAGAATGTTTTATTGACATAATTCAAATCGTAGATTGAAATTTACAATTTCACTTTTTCCATTTCTATTCTTGCGTGCACAATTCTGCATGAGGTTGTTTTACTGTATTGTCACCAGCCTGTATGAATAGAGCCACATAAATAAAGTCCTCATGCTGTCACAACAGCTGCCTCAGCTGTTTTTATTTTTGTCCAATCTGCATCTCTGTCTCTCTTTTCAGCCAGATTCCCAAGGCCTCCACATTTCTATGAAGCTTTGCAGTCATTGTCATTCTCTGCCTTTCCATCTGATGCCCTTAGACTTTCCCACCTGTCAATGTTCATGCCTGCTTTCCAATCTCTTCAACCTGAACCTGAACTTGAACTCTGCCTGCTGGTACCCTTTCCTGCCACTTCTGGAATTTGGACTTGCTGCCTTCGACTGTAAGCTGCAGCTTATGTATTATCATTTTACCATTAAAATCATGACTGTATGTGGGTCCTTTTCCCTGCTTCCTTGCACACACCCACATGACGGCATGATCTGTTATGGACTCACCAGCCCTGCCTACCATTTTCTTGAGATCAGTTTGGAGTGACTACATTTTCCTAAATTAAGAGCCAGGCTTCCTGGAGGGCCTCGCTGCCATCTGGAAGTGGGACCCTGAGTTTGCAGTGGCATTCTTCATCTGGAAGTTTTTATCAAGCACTACTCCTGAGCCCGTCTGCATCTTCCAATTTCTGCTCACAGACCTCCAGTGCTTTTCATGGACCCTCATAGCATCTCCCTTGAGCAGCCTAGTAGCTTACCAGCTAGCGCTTTGCTTGATTTCAAGTAGCCTTGGGCCTCTTAGCCTTTAGTATGCTTCTCTGTTGGCTAGCCTCAATTGATTGTTACCCCCCAGCCTGACTGGTTTTCTGCATTTGGGTCCTTTTCCTCGCTACCTTGGACACACACCATGACGCATGTACTACCCTGTCAGGCATGTGGGTTAGAGCACCTCCAACAGTTATTCATTTTTTATGTAAATTGTGACACTTTTTTCCACAATGAAAACTTCTAATGATGAGATAGCAACACAAGAGCTGTTATGGTAATTACAAAACAGACAGCTGTTCCACATATTTAAGGTTCCCTTTGGTTGTGCTGTATATTATTATCTGGTTTTCAGATGTTATCCATTCAGTTTTTAGTCCAATTTAATTATGGGTAGAGAAGACCGGAGAATAACTGAATGGCTTCTCTATTTTCAGGGAATAATCAAGCAATACTGCCAGCCATAGTCCCTCTGGTTAGATTTTCCTGTTTTATGAGCAAAATCATACTTCTTCTCATTTTATATGTTTCCTTTCTGACAAAAGTCAAAGGCCACAGATGTTGGAGTTAGATTTAAAGCAGCTAAAAAACCATGAGCCCTGGTTCACTGCATTTTGTCACAGGTTTTATCGTCAGTTATCATCTAAGGACACATTTCATGATGCCAGTATTTAATCAGAATGGATCAAATAGCAATACTTATATTTGAAGTGAGTCACTCATAGTTACAAATGCACAGACAAGTATCACCTGACTCTGCAGCTCTTTGCCACCAAGTTAGCCAAATCAACTTAAATCGTAATATGTCAATGTTGTCCTTACAGCTTATTTCTGCTGCCCCCAAGGGGCCAAAAAAGTGTCAGAATTCACTTACTGAAGGCTTTGTAGCATTTGTTGTCTCTTGACTAACAAAAATGAAAACATAACTCTCTGTGATTAATTAAAAGTCACCAACAAAAACTTCAGTTAGTGTCCTACCTGGCAATCCTTTTGCCCATTTGACCACTTTGACCAGTTGTCTCTCTCCCAACTCGTTGAGGCTGGTGAGCAGGGTGTCAGCTGAGTCCGGTTGGCCATAGTCATGTCCTGCATTGACCACCTCAGGCTCAATGGACTCCAGGATGTTGAGGAAGACCAGTTGGGAGTTGAAGTTCAGGCCTGATTTAGGAGAGATATTCTGGATAACCTCTACAGGTTCCTGAATAGGATGATCCTCTTCAAGGTTTTTCTGTTGTCCAATCTTCTTTAGTTTGCGTGCTACAGACAAAAGCAAGACATTAAGAATCAGCATAATTTATAAAAAGGTAACAACTTAAGTTATAACAATATATTTATGCTTTTTTGCCACACACTTTAACAATTAAGCCTGGTCTACTGGGTTGGGTCTTCAGTCTCCAACTGTATTGCACACTAAATTGCACACTATACAAAAGAGAACAAAGAACTAAAAGTCAGATGTTTAATCCCATCACTTCAGCTTTCACATATCTGATTGATTTAGACTGACTGCCATTGCTCTAAAGTCTGGAGCCATGATTGATTTTCTGCCTTTGATTTTAAGATCTCTTACTGCTAAATTGGACCCATTACAGCTAAATGCGGTATGGAGAATGAACAGACAGAGTGATGATACCAGAGGGTTTCCCTTTCAAAAAATGATCACAATCATAGATACTAGTACAAAACTGTTGATTGAAAATTGATGAATGAAATCCTCTCAGGTCATCATTGCTAACACAACCTGTTTAGGTAATTGTCTTTTAAACATTACAGGAAACATGTGCAACCAAAACAACAGTGCTGCGAATTAATGTAATTCTACTTTCTAAATCATCTGTTAGAAATTTCTTATACTGCAACTTTGGGTTTTAAGTAACCTTTAAAGGGAAATATAAATTGTACCCAACAATACTCAGCTGGATCTACCTAATAGCTTTGAAGATATTGAATCATATTCCATTTGAAAGAAATATCTCTGAACAGATGAGCCTCATCTGGTGGAAAGGCCTGTGGTCATCATGTGTGAGAGCTTACTGGTGATGAAGATGTAAAAAAATTTTTTTCTTGTTATTACATTTTTTTCCAAAAAAGGCTTTGCTGAAAATTGATCATTGGACCCCTGCCTGAATCATTTGCATTACATTTGTGTTTCCATATGCACTACAAAACATAAAAGGATTTGGAAACAACAAAACTCCAAAAACATGTAATACTGTATGTTGAAAAAAAAAAACCTGCTCCCCCATCAATGCCATGACAAAGCTACAATTTCTTTACTTACAAATGCTGAAACTCCTGAGGCAGCTGCTCCATATGACAACCTGCACTTACAAACTAAATTGGAGCAGGTCTTTGATTTGGTGGAGTAGACTGCCATGTACAGTAAATACAATCAGAATGGAATAATTATATTCTGCTAAAAATAAATTTAGTTCTTTAACAATCAGGTTTAAGATCACCAACCATTCACTGCACTCAATAACTGACTGTTTTATTTCCACAAGTACAAGAGCTGCAAACAGTTGAGCTTGAGTTCAGCCTGTTATTTCAGAATGACAGCTGTGTTGGACAGTAAATGACAGACAAATACAGATGGTCACTATGTGCTCAGTGCATTGAAGGCCAAACAATTCTGTTGTTCAGTTACAGAGGGGTACGAAACAAGGTCTTTAAAATAGTAATCTAATTCATTAGAAAATAAATGTTTTAGTTATAAGAAGTTTAAAAAAAAAAAAAAAGAGGCGACATATTATTTCTTTAATCCAATGTTGACCATAAAAACTAACTGTTAATTGTTTTGCATTTGCCTCTTGCAGCTTCTAGATAGAGAATGTCTCATTAAAACCGCAGCCTGGCTTTTCAGTTCAGTTGGATAAATATTGAATTGCCAGTTATAGACACGACTTAAGTCTCTCTCAAAAGTAGCAGAGTTGAAAGCAAATTGCAAATTATATAAGTAGGATAATTTGCAAGTCGCACACTTCCATTTCTGATCCAATAACAAACATTAGAAATAAAAATGGTTAATTAAAAATTCTTCCCTGGGATTCTGAATTGTGACACAGGCAGCCATCTGATCTTTGCAGAGTACAGTGTAAACAGGTTGGGTTGAGCTAACCTTAAGATAACCATGCTTGAGCTGAAGCCAATATAAACAGGAGGTCGACATCAAAACGATGAATTCAAGCACAGCCTTTGTTACACTCACATATTGCAGTTGGTATGATACATTGTTGACTGACCTCTAGAGAATAAACCACTGACTTATCCATTACAAGCCCATTTTTACTCAAATCAAGTTGTTACAAAGTTTTCTGCTCAGAGACGTTTTTTGTCCACTTCCTTTATTACCTGTCTTATCACCATTATAATCATGACCTTTATTGTAACTATTATTTTAGTCAGTTTAGCAATTTCTCCTGCTCTTGAAATGCCTCTTTGTATTGTGCGCCTTTACAGATCTCACTTTGGTTTCCAAGTTGTAGCTGTCATTACATCATCAGCTCAACAATGTAAGTTGTGTTTCTGGAAGGGTATGAGGGAGAGAGTCTGACACAAAGAGAAAGAAGCGAGAGAAGGCTGATAAAACCTTCCACTGGCGCTTAAAAATTTCTTGTCCTCATACTCTAATTGTTCCGTAGTCAACTTGTCAGGAACAATCCAGATCATTTGAAGTTTTCCAGAAAACGTCTTTTTTTATAATTGTGAAATAGCAAATTTACACAAGCTGTAATGATTGACATACTACATTGGGTAGAACTTCCCATTAGATTCTGAAGTACAATTTTGACAGTATTTTAAATACCCCAATATTACCTTCTTACTAGAGATATTACTCTACCCCACTCTTTTTCATCAAAATACTCTTTCACTTCATTTTACCTCATTATTACTACATAATTTAAAAGATTTCACACTAAAATTGTTCCATTATTATTGATTGTTTTATTTATCCTGACTGATTATTAATAGCATCATTTCACTGAAGCTGAAAAGATAACTACATTTTTCAAATTGTTGATTAACAGAAAATTTATTGGCAACTATTTTGATGTTTTGGTCATTTTGTTAATGTTTTATATAATTTATCTCAACTCGTTCTGTTTGTGCTTTGGGCTGTTGTTCAGACAAAATAAGACATTTGAAGATGTCTCCTTGGAGTCTTTCGCCACCTTCTATAGACTATACATGATTATTTACCAATACATTATCAGTGTATAGTGCGTTGTTCCTAACTCTGTAATAACATAGCATTACCCCATTCTAATCTTGTAATGAATGAGCTGTAAAGTGAAAGAGTTTCATGGGGACCTTAGCAGTGACCCAGGGGTGGATCTAGAGGGGTGGCATGGGTTGGCTGCCACCCCTAAAAAAATGCCTGGCCACTTCAGTTGTGTGACAAATGCTGTCAAATTTAACATGTTAATTTAATTTAAAAACAATGTGTTAAAAAATGGAAATTTATTTAATTATTACTAACTAAGTGATAGGCTTAGGTTCAATGAAAAAGGACGAAAAAGGACATGTATTTGGAAAAATGTCTGAAGATTTGGAAATAAAACAGTTTATTGATTTATAATGCCACCTTACCTTAGCATTGATATTTATATTCAATGCTTTACAAATGTGGCACAATAATGTAATGACTGTTGGTTAAAATAGCTTTGTTTGGGGCTTTTCAAGCTAATGTTGATATATGTGATTGTTTACGGTTAAACCAGTATATATTTCTGCCACCTTAAAGTTTCCATGCCAACCTCTTGCCACCCCATGAATATTTATTGCCTCTGCATTGACCCACTATTACTTTGTATGTAGAGCAGATGTTAGTTTCAATTAGCTGGGAAAAGAGAGAGAAGAAGAACTGGGAGAAGACCTTGGGACAAATAAGGACACGCAGTTTAAAGCTCAACTGGTTTAAGAACACTTTGGGATCCTCCAGGAGGAGTCAGAAGGGCAATCTAGGGAAAAGAACCATTGGGTTGCTTTGTTGAGGACTGATGGATTAACTAAATAATTAAGTTATATACTAATGCCCAAGCAACAACCTGGAAGCCCTGCCCTAGTGAAAGCAAGTTGTGGCATAATATTAACCCTTTTCTGATAAAGCCCAAACCAAAAACTATCCACTGAACTGTGGCAAAGTTGAAGACCTGTGGTCATTCATTCAAGGAATTTCATCATGTCATGAAACATATGGAAGTTTTTATTGGACTATATTATTTGTAACTCAAAGAGGACACTCCACAAATATCTCACTATCCACAGAGAGATTTTGTATGAGAGGCATGAATAGCAGCAATAGATGCTGACAACTGTAAACGTGCATGGCCAGAGTTAATGCTAGATAGCTAAATCAACATCTGTGGACGGGAGGTTGGGGTGAGGAGGGGTAGTCAGAATGAAGCGTTAGAGAACATTAATCTGTTTTGCCGAGGTTGCAGAGTTTTAGGACATTAAGTGTAAGGCTTGGATGCTTCAACCAGTAACTGGTGTGCTTCTGCTACATTATTATGGCAATGATGCAACCTGTGGATTTTCTCCGAGATATCGCTGACCCTCTCATCCCTTTCTTTCTTCCTGTCTCCTCAGCAGCACCTTGGCCTCATCTGTGGCATCCCACATGTTACCATCACTGGACTCCAACCCTCCATCAACACTTCATTATACTGCTGCTGGACTCTTCTCTGATTTTCAAACTTTTCTTTAAAAGTACATGATTTATTAGACTGTTTTACAGTGTGTTCATGGTCAATAAACTTTATGACTATAGTAGAAATATATATATTTTTTGTGGACGAAGTAATACAGTCCTGCATCCCTGCACTGGCTTTTTTCCACTAAGAAGTTGGACGAGAAGGGAAACTTGTGTAAATCCTTAAAAAAGTTGAACTCTAGTGTAATCTTAGCTGAAGTGGTTTTTTGTGTAACACACAATTTGTTCTGGAAACTTCATGAAAAAAAAGTGTCCAGCTCCGAGGAAATCAGGGGTTGAGATGCTAAACTGTAAAAGGTTTTAATGTGCTGTAATGTGTGACAGTATGATGAAATCAATAAAGTGTAATGAGCCAAAGTGCAGATGTGCAGTGAACCTCCTTCAGGAATAAGCAAAATGAGACTGCTGTCATGGTTTGTCAACAGTAACCTTCCTGTTCAATTTCTATTCGGGGATGTAATTAAGATTCCAGGAACAATATGGAATTCAAATTATTATAAAAAAAAACTATGAAGTTCAGTCTTGAACAGATGCCAAACTCAACAAATGCAGGATTCTTTGCTTCTTTTACAAACTACAAGGAGGGAAACAAATAACAGATCTTAATGATATGATCTAATGAGACAAAGTTTATAATTTAATTTATATAACTGCCAATGCTTTTACAATTTTGTAATAAATTCATCAGAATCCAATTAGCCAAACTAGAATTCCCCTTTTCTTCCAGTATTTTATGACCTGGCTTTAAAGTATTTTGAGTAAAAAACCTTGGGGTTAATACAACCGAATGTATAATTTTTCTGCCTCCACTTCCACAAATGATTGTCATAAATTTTCCTGTGAAATGCCGTGAGTGAATTACATGTCTAGGATGAGAACATAAGTGAAAGGAGGCTCTTTTTAGCCACAAATAGAAAAGGTGTGCCTTTTTACTTACAATCACAGCATTAGATCGCATTTTCCCTCCATGGGTTTGTCAGTGACTGGTGGCAAAATTGCCAGCATGTCTGCTGCTTTAATTCACATGTCTCATGTCAGCTTTGTGCTTCCAGTACAATTTTCACCGTTAACAGAATGAGAAAATGGAAGAGAGTGAAAATTGAACACAGGACTAAAATTAGTCCACTACATGTCAATCTTTACAGCCTAATATGACGAACAAGTCTGGGTGACAGTAAGGAGAAGTGAATGGAATAGGTCTAAATTGCATGGCAGCTCAGTCAGGGGCTTGATTATCAGTAACATCCCCTATTGTGATGATGCTGCAATTGAAGAGAGCCAGCTAAGATGTGCAGTGTAGAGAGAATAAAGTACTTGGTCTTGGGAAACCATTAATAGTTTCACTTTTAGGACTTCACTTTCTCAGTAGTGTGCTTTGTTCATACAGTATGTAATGCGCACTTTTTATTAGAGTCCATACTGCACAAATGCAAATATTTTAAATGCATATTCACATTGCACACATCCTGGGACTGCAGTAAAGTGCAACTGATGATGACAGGTACGACTGGTAAAATAGTTAGTAACGTTATAATAAACCACAGCAATTAAATAAAAAAAACCAATTTTTGCTGTTTAAAAGCAGATTTTAGTACATTTATTCAGCCTACCTCCGAGAGTCATTCCGGCTTCAAAACACTTCCTCAGCCGACAGGACGGGCAATTCTTTCTTCTTAGCTTATCAATTGTGCAGTCATTTTTGCTTGCACACAGGTATTTCTGTTTGCCTACATGGACAGAGAAACCAGAGGTTACTTGTAGTCATTAACCTGTTGAATGATCAAAAATATAAAACACTAGATGTACAGAATCTGTACATATCACTCTGATTGCAATAAAAGGCAACAGGTGTTAATGTATGTGGCACAAAACTCAGGATTCTCTGAGATTTACCTTCTGCAGCTCTTTTGAAGAAAACCTTGCAGCTGCCGCAGGTGAGTGCACCGTAATGACAGCCGGAGGCTTCGTCTGAGCAGATTAGGCACATCCTCTGTGGTGGAAAGAAGAACTCCATGGGGAACATGTGCTCTCTGCCAGCTTCAAACCTGCAGTCAAACATATGAAACAGGACTTATATAAACCATGCACAGCTACAGGACACACATGTATGATAAAAACAAGGTACTAATCTTCTGTTGATGACATTTGATTGTTTCCCACTTTGGTGTTATATCTTTAATGTAATTATAATTTATTGTTATTAGGACCTATCGTTGATGTTTCCTTATTTTTATGTATCAACTGGGCCATGGCACACAATATTCATTGCTTTGGTATTTCACTATTTTTATTCTATGTGACTTTATTATCTTATGAAACCAATAGCCTATTTTGGGACAAGCCTAACGTGGAACTGATTTCCATAATTGCTTTTTACTTGTTAAATACAGTCCAAACTTTAACCGCAAAGCAGTTACTGTTCATTCCCCAGAACCGTGCCAAGGCCTCTCAGTGAGTGATTTAAGGAGGGTGGAGAGTGTGATGACTGAGAACGGTGTTGGAAACCGTGGCCAAGGGGGCATGATGGGCGCCCGGCCTCAGCCTTGAACACTAAGAGATTGGAAAAGGCTCAGACATAACGTTGGCTCAGTGACGTGCAACTTCGATATCAAAAAACAGAGACTAGACTAATACACTATGAAACCTTATCGCAGATAATCATGAAGTAGTGTGAGATCAGAGATTAGGGCTGTGAATGTAATGAGAGAAGAAGAAGTGAGGTGATGAAAAGTGACACAGAATTCTCATGTGGTCTTTGATCCATCAATAAATGTAAAAAAATACGCATGTCAAGATCAGTATGCCAACGCTGTGGGCACAAATCACAAAGGCACCAGTTAATAATCCCCAATGCAACAAACACAAAATACACTTTGGATCAGTTACATTTGCACATAGAACATGTTAAGAGGTAGGTTCACTTTTTTTCTTTAAACTCAGACCAGACTCTCTATTATGCATAATTGTACATTTCGAACGCCTTCAAGTTTTTTAAAATATCTTTCTGCTTCTCACTCTTAAATACAGTCTAATGGGTCCATTTTCTGACACAAACCACAATTCATCTTGCTTTTTAAAACAAAGTTCACAGGATTGTTAGATTGTTAAGTTTGCTAACTTGGTAACTTTTAAAAATTATTAAAAGTATTATCTTTCAATTTGATAAAAAAACTGCAAAAGGTGAAAATAAATGTATAAATGTTCTGTAACTAAGCTTTAAATCAGCCAGGGTGAAGCCCATTGTTATTAGTTTAATTCCAGGTTGCATAGTACCAGGAAACAGTTTGTCAACCGTGGCATTTATGTGCGGAGAATGGAGGAGCAAACAGTCCTCTGACCTTGAAGTTCCTGGATTTACAAGCATTCAGGGATAAAAGATCCTTGTTTAATCTCAACAGTAGAGCTTAACAAACGGATAGTGTCTAACTATGTAGAAGTTTTATTTTACCCTTTATTACACCTTTTAATGCCATATATCATTGTCTGTAAGGGCCTAGAGAAGATATAAACATTCATTCTTTCATTCATTACTTTCTGGCTTGTGTGTTATTTTTTCACACTGACTTAAACACTGACTATTGTATCATCTTTTAAATGATGAGATTAGAATATACTTTGATATAGTGGCTGATTTGTTTAAATAATTTTGCCATAAATTACTATCATATTCACATTTACTCACAGCCTCACAGTGAGTACAGATCTGAGGCAGACAAGGTCAACTTCGGTCTTTGCTGAAGCCCCTGTGTAATTCTTAAAATCTGGTTGTATTTTTCGACATTCTGCTTTATTAACAGGACAGCAGAGAGGGACGGGAAGAGAGAGGAGATGACACGCAGCAAATGGTCTCGGGCTGGACGTGAAACTGGGCCCCTGCAGTAAAGATTCTGCCTGGTGAGCAAGCGGGGAACGCTAAACTGAGTTGGTGATTAAAGATAAAAACCTATTCACTTCGGTGAAAGTTCATGTTGCCAAGGCACTAACATAAAAAACGCTTTAGTTTAGCAATTCCAGAAAATGACATATATGTCTAATCGTGGTGTCTTTACATTGCTGCAAAGTGCTTTTAAAGAGGAACATATAACAAATACAAAGATAGAAAAAAAATCAAAATGTTCTCTAAGCATGATAGTCCTAATGTAGCCCAGAATTTAACTAAAACTACAGCTGTGCAGTTCACTGCCACACCAAAATGTATAAAACACATTAATGTTTTGTCCGACCACTCTGTAGTGAACTTGCCTCTATTTTCACTGATTTTTAACTGCTCCCTTGCACAGCATGTTTGAATTCAGCTGTGATCGTGCCTATGCCTAACGAACCCAACCCAAGCCAAGAAAACTTAAGACTAGTGAAAATATGTGGTATTTCCAGGTATGGTATGGTGAGGTTTTATAAAGCAGCAGTGGAGAGCATCCTCCCTTATGCTATAAATGTGTGGTTTAGCATCATGCCAGCCAGAGTTATAAGACTAGATTACAAAAACAGGTCCTTAAAGTTGAAATGAAACTTTTTAATTTCCTTCCTTCTCAAAAAAGACTAAGACGCATTCAGACCAGAACACACAGGTTCCAGAATAGCACATATCCTGAAGCTGTCCGCCTCTTTAACAGTCCAAACATAGCTCTGCAGGCCACTCGCTGGGTTAAATAATTTGACAATAGGGCAAATGTTTTTAAAGCTCTTGAAGCACTTCACACTGTATAGTGCAAGGTGGCCCAAAGTGGGGCCAGTGGGCCAAAGTTGACCTGCTATGAGGATCAATTTAGCCCACTGGATGTAAAAAAAATAATAACTAAACATTAATGAATTAATCACTCTTTTTTAAGGTAAAAATGCTCTGTAAATAAGTGGAATCCCTAAATATGAATTATTTTTCATACTCTGAGCACGGCAGGCAGAATTACACTTAAAGTGTACTTAAATTTTTTATTTTAATTGTCACTACCGCAGAACGTCAGTCAATTAAGGGAACTAGGATCCTAGTGCCGTTTTGCATCTTAATAATAGAATAAAATAGATGTTTGCTTTTGGACGTCATTGGCCAACCATTAAGTTTCAGTTTTGGCCATCCAAGGGAAAACGTTTGGACACGCCTGATCTAGTGAGTTTTTTCATGTTGCTGCTAGTTTTCCTATAGGAGTTTTATCTATCCTGTTACCCATTTGTTTTATGCTTTTATGATTATTGTGTGGGATTCTTGTCTCTGTTTTATATATTGGTTAATGTATTGTGTTCTTTATTAGTAAGTGACTTTTTGTCTTTTTTGTTGTCTGTTTTTTTTGTTGACAAATAGTAATCAAGCATGCTGATATAAAGTATTACAAAGATATTATATCATCATTATATACAATGTTATATTTACACTGGGTGAAACAGCAACATAATCACCTACTGCACTGTATTTTTTCTGCAAATAATACTGAGGCACAGAATTCTTTCACTTAATGCTAATTCAGCAGCAGAAACAGGAGGCAATCCAACAGGTGCTCATTCATGATAGAAGAGATATTTATCAATTTGGTGACAGAAAAAAGTTCAGCAGAGGTCAGCCTGTTGCAAACGGGCAGCAGATCATGGCAGCTATAGCCAAATACAAGGCGAGTGTGTTCACAGTACAAGTTATTAATTTATTTGGACTTTTTTATCATCTATTCTTTTTTAAATACAAGAAAAACTGAGCAACAACTTTGCTGTTTCAGCTAATTTCTCTGATTGGGCCACTAACAGACGAATATCAAAATGTAATATGTTAATAAGTCCTTAAAGTCTTCCTGTCCTTTCAGTAGCATAATGCTGCACCCATCATACATCACGGTAGGGGTAATAACGAGCTGTGTTTCCATCAGTTAAGCGACAAATGGAAATAAAGGGGCAACAGCTGTTTGATGTATATTTACACATTATAGATGGGAGTAACTCAAACTCAAACATCAGATTATGGAAATGCAGACGTGTAGACATATCGTTCTGAAAAGCTTCGCTTAGTAAAATTCAAATCTGGAGCATGGTCTGGGTTTCATTCAGCAACAATGTCCAGATAATTCAATAAAACTGCCTCTTGGAACAAGCCGTGGGACTTGAGGTCATAAGCAAGACGAGAGCTGGATCTCCCAGTGCTCAAGGTCTTTATGTTCGTGCGGACATCCTGCTGACCTAGAAGTCTAAAGTGCATACCATAAAAGCCCCCATGACACTGGTTTGAGCTTTGGCTGGGGACCTCTTACATAGATCAGCCGTCTCTTTTTCTTTCCCCGTGTTTCCTGTCGCCTACAGTCAAAATAGGCTATTCAATAAAGGTCAATTACCATAAAATTAAAATAAAAGCAGTATGTACTTTTGCCATTAGGCAAAGTATATTTAAGGCTTCATGTCTTCTTGAGCAGATGAAGTTAGATCACAGCTCAGTAGGTCGGGCAGATCCTGCTGCTATGCCTCTATGTGTTTCTCTGTAAGAGTAGCTCCTTGTTTGGGATTTCGGTTTCACTGTCCTTACATATACATAAGACAGAACATCACTGTTTTTTGCTCCCTTTATATTCCTGGCATAGATGTTTCTGGTTTGGAAATCCAGTGAGATCACAGACAGTTGGAGAAAAGGCACGATGACGTTAACTGCGTGTACACCTGGTACCTCGTGGCTGTCGGTCAACCATGCAAATGTAATTTAAGTTAAAAATTCCTTGAGTATTATTTAAGAACACAACAACAAAGCATGTGAAACCTTTGGAAACATTTGTTAACTAACGTATAAAATTGTGACAGAGCTATTAACGCTCACCTCCACTTAAAAAAAGAAGTCAGTTTGCTGTGTGTATTCTGTAGTCACAGCTGACCTTTTTATAAAATCAATCCAACAAATTCAGAGATGATATTCTCTTACAAGAGATGCATATTTTTATATTTTTTCATTGGGTGCATTCAGAAATAGTTGTTTCAGAACAGAATCACACTTTCTCCATTCATGTCCAGGTGGATGTTATGAGCTGGTGAACCAGACAACACAGTAAAAAACATTATTTTTTAATGTTTGATGAAGGAGGGAAACAAAAAAAAGCACGTTATGAATAAAATATGTTCTTGAACAGAACTTTATGTTTAACAAATCTTACAGATATTATTACTTTATCCTATTTTCACAGTGTTGACATTAATAAAGAATATCTTTATTATGTATGTCTTTAGAATTACTATTCATGTTTATGTATTTTAACAAGGGCTGCTTGCACCCTCTTATAATCTGAAGGGATTTAATTTCAATTTAGTAATATTTTGAACAGAGAAATGTAAAATCAGCTTGTGTCTTGCAAATGTATTTTAAACTGCTGGTGGATGTGCACCAGCCAAATATTTCAAAATCTAAATAAAATGTCTAATTTGATGAGCTTAAGTTTCCCAGTGCATTTACTGAAAGCAGCCCAATGATGTCCGAAAATACACTTCTGTCTATACAGCAGAAAATGTGAGTTTTAAAAAAATCTGTTCAGTTTAGTTTTTAACTGAAAAAACAAGTGTTGAATAAACGCATTTGTTGTCAATAAAATAACCGTCAAGACCTTAAACTGTGAGGAATAAATACACAATCATTAAGATTCATAGGGATTAAATTTGGATTATTTTTTGATAAAAGGCTGCGTTTTGTTGCTGTTACTGGCCGGCAGGTGGTCAATCTACACTTGACCAGAAACATTTAATTTATGTGCGAGTAACTCCACAGAATCTCAACACTCACGCCTGGGGTCAGATTAAGGTCAGACTCTGGTCATTTGAGTTTTTTTTTTGTCAGCGCAAACTCAAACTTTTCTGCTCCCAAAACATTATTTCAACTCATTATTATTATTATTATTATTATTATTATTATTATTATTATTATTATTAGAGCTTACCTGGTGTCATTGTAGGCGACATCGAGCCATTCGCCGACTTCAGTCTTCACGTAGTTGGAGTTGGGATAGGGCGGCCTCAGCATCCCGCCAGGGTACCACTGCTCAGGACGCACCACGCTCCGTTCATATGGATTACATATGAACGCGGTGCTGGCTCCTGTGCTGTGCGCGTTCATGCACTGCTGCCTCGAACCCCAAAACTGAGAGTTGTACTTCTCATTAAAGGTGTAATTAGTACCCCACGAAGCCGCCAAAGATTCGGGGTCTTCAGATTTGATTTTAACGCTGTATTGTTCTGGATAACCACCGAACTTGTTCTCCATGGCTTCCGCGAAGTCCCTCGCTTCGTTGGGGGGCTTGTAGACTCGGCACGGCTTCTCTGTCTCTCTCGCCTGGCCGAAGTGTGCCAAATTGCCTGGCGCGGATTGGGCATAAGGGCAAGAGGCAGCGCGCGTTGATGTGTCCAGATGATCTATCTTTTGTGAAGTTATGTCATCAGCCTTGCACATTGTGAAGTTTTGCTCATCCACAGAGGTCCATGTGGAGGTGAGGTGATGCAGACGCGCAGCAGTCTCTGAAGTTTTGAACATTTCCACCAGTTGCTTCTGGCCGTGCAGGGGCCGGTCATCTCGGTCGGGGCACTTGTAGTCGGCAGCCTGGGCTCCGGGACGGTTCAGGGGCACGGCTCCAACTCCGAACAAATACTCTCCTCTTATGTGGTCATTTGCAGCACACGAGTGGAGAGTCCCACCATCCACGTCGCTGGTGTCACTGGACTCCATGGCCAGTCCCAGAGACACGGACACAGCTTTGCAGAGCTCCCTGGCTGTTTCTGAGATTGTGGCGCAGGCTGAAAAGGAGCGGCTGTCGCCCACACGGCAGTCGGCGTTTAACAATTCCTCCTGAGGGGCAGCAGCTGTTTGACAGCAGTGTTTTTCCATGTCACAAGCCAACGAATTCGTGTGTCCGGATCCGTAAGTGTTTGGGTCTGCATGGTCGGACTCTTTCAGCCTGTCGGCACCATTTCCCGATGAGTTTTTGGTGAAATAGACCGGACTTTCTTCAGGGTTTTGCGCCATGCTGAGAGCGCTCACGGCGTCGCCTGTCTTTATTTTCGCACCCACTGTCCACATTTTGTTACAAGATAACTGTCGGTTAGTTTGGCTCATTTCCCAGAAAGTGTTTACTTGGCAACGAGACTGGAACTTTGCACGATGCAAGTGCAGGTCCCAGTGATTGTTACTGCTCAACCCAACTCTCACGTTGTGGAAAACGTGTTGGTAAAGGTCCTAGGAGAGCTGCAGGAGTCACAAACTCCTCCTAAATCAGAGTCAGGGGCGCTCAAGTTCGGTCTGACTGAAGGTGAATTCCGGAAAGGACTTTTGTATCTGGCAAACATCGACACTTTCCCCCACTGAAATAAAGGCAGGGCGTTCAATTATTAATTATTCAAATTTGGCTTTTGAGAGAGATGTAAATTGACGTTTATTATTAACGTGCCAAGTCTGCAGGCGCACAAACCAAACTCCTCAATTATGCAATACTGTGCTTTGTGTCTCCAGTTGTTTTATAGCAAAGTGAGTGTGTGTGTGTGTGTGTGTGTGTTGTAGTAGTAGTAGTAGTAGTAGTAGTATTTTTTACGGACTCTCGCTCGACTTACTTTATGGGAGCAGAAGCCTGTTTCCTTTTTTCCTTTTTTTTTTTTTTTTTGGTTTGTTCTTACCGGATAAATTGAGAAACTAGTGTCGATCTTAATCATTTTCCAATTTTCCCAGAGATGTTTTCACCGTGCTCCAAAGTACATAACTTAAAAGCAAGTGGTCAGTAATTGAGATAATTCAGATGTTACTAATATCTAATATAAAGACAGCCATAGACTCATTATCAGCTGGCCCACACTGCCAGTTCGGATTAATGGGTCAAAAGGACATTTTTTTTAATTTACTCATTTCAACAGAGTAAGCTGAGATTAAATTTCAAACAGACATTTATCTGCCCACCAGTCACCTTACATGTGAGTTACCAGCATGCTTTTGTGACACCACATACTTTGGACGCCAGCCATGGTCCAATATGAAACTTAACTATTGTGATGTGGAAACTTGAAGCCTCTGCACATAAACTGAGAACGGAGATCTTGTGTCGTGAACAATATTTGCACACTCGATTCTTTTTTTTTTAAATAAGAAGAATGAGTAGATGTAACCTAATTTAAGAAGATAATTGAACTTTCTGTGGGAAAAAAAGCATCTCAGGCACTTATTATTATCGAGGCAGAGCATTTTTATATGTCTTAAATCACCTGCCAAGTCTATTTTTTGAAAGTGCTTGCCCTTTTCCAAAGTCTTCAACAATGACTTCCCAGATGGTTCCGTGTAACAAACCATCTGGTGCAGTCAGGTTAGACAGATGTGATGCTTTTGGAGTTCCTCAGCTTAAAGCGGCTCTTCTGAGAGACTTTTAGAGTATCTATCAGCTTTCAGAAGTCATGGCACGTCCCAAGTTTCTCACCGAGTTGGAAATATGGCCAGAAAAAATACTTCCCCCATCAGTCCTAACTTGGATGGTATCTTTACAGTTATCCCATTCAGAGCTCATAAATTCAATAGATTCATAAATGTACAAGAACAAATTAATGTATTATCATTAATAATCTCATCAAAACCCTCCAATATCAAGCACCATTATGTTACTGGGGCAGTAAGCTAATCTAAGCAAACTTTTTCATCACAGTGACCTCATGAGGCCAAACAGGACAACACAACATTAACTGCTGTTACTTTCATAATATGAATAAAACCCTCTTACATGAAGGGTCAGGTCTCTAGCAACCAGACAAACATAAGAAAACCAGTGCTTAAAATTTGACATTTTGACACCAGAACATTTAAAAAAGATAAAAGTTAATACCAGTAAGATGAGAGCTTAACCTCTTCAGGGCGTCACAAACTTTTGTCATATCGTAGGACACTATTTTAAATTCTATTTGAGATCCAAATATTTCCAAAGAAACAAAATATGTCAGGCTGAAGTTTGGGGAAATGTGAAGACTAACAAAGGATTCACAAGACATCTACTTCAATTTGATTTCACAGTGCAGCCACAGTGTCTTAAGCATCATATACCTGTAAGGGAGTGATGGAAGAAGCAGCTACATCATATGGGATATTGTCACACTGCATAAATCCTTGTAAGATGTTAATAAATGAATAAATTATAAATAAATGCATACATGTATAACTGATTAATTTCATTCAATTAAATAAACCTGTGTACACTAAAGGCAGAAGGACAAAGGATGTGACTAATTATTTAAAGTTCATATCACCTTGCCACTACAGAATGAAATGCATAATGTGCAAAAATATATTCAAGGAAGATTCAGACCCAACAGGGTTTGCACTTGGTCACTTCACAACCTGGTCAGCATGGTATGACCCCACCAAGTCCTTCCACCTGAAGGACAAAATATGTCCTTTGTCAAAAAGGTTGAGAGTTTACAGGAAGACGTGTACATAATGTTTAGTTTACTTGCCTAATAGAATGACAGTTACTTCATTTTTTCCCAGCAGGCTACAAATGAATGTGAAGACACTAGTAACCTTACTTTACCTTACCTTACTGTAGACCACAGGGACCAAACAACAGAAGACCTGTATTTCTGAGACATTCTGAATGAAGTGCTATAATGGAGATTCTCCTCCATATCATGTGTTTCACACTGTGTTAATTAATGTCTGTGTAACGTGTAACGCAGGCTTATTGGCTGTTTGATGGTACTCTATACACAGGGGCAAGCCAGGCACAGACGCTTGTTTCACTTTTGTGTACTGTGTGCAGTGTACTGCTTGATACATTGTGTCAAATGCTTGTTTCATGACCGTCATATCACATGAGTCATGCTGTTTAAAGCTTCAAACAAATAGTGAAAAGTTAGAAATCTGGAAAAATGGGTAGCCAGGGGAGAAAGTGAAACCCAACACAGATATATTAGATCTGTATAAAACTCTATTTTTCCACTCTTGTACATATTTAAATCTCACACTGTGCAGTGGACATAAGCCACATTGACAAAGTATTAGAAATGCTTTCTCTCAACTCATGTTTGTATTTGAACAATATTTATGCATCATCATCCAGAACATCATATAGACTTTTTATAAACTTAATGTGCACATATGAAATCTATCTTAACTATGAAATCGGTGGTTTTGTGTTGTGCCAGTGCTTTGGCACCAGTCTTGACTAATACTTTCTGCAAACCAGATATCACTTTCCTCTCTGTTTTCAATGCCCCGAAGCTTAGAACCTGTTTTCAGCAACAAACAGAAAAAAAGCCCAAAAAGCTTCAAAAGCCCTCGTATGACCATCACTACGGTATCCAATGCCCTAAAGCTTCTCATATGTTTTTCAGCACAAACAGGAAGAGGGTTTGAAAGCTTTAAGATTTCATCTCTACATCACAATTCAACCTATTCTAAATAGGTCATTCAAATGTTAAAAAATGAAGCCGTCTACTGGTGGGGCTCAAAATAATGGAAAAAGCCACTGCTCACTTGTCCCAGGCCCATACATTTCTGAAGAACTTTCCAGACCTGCCAGACCTTCTCCACCAGTCCACCAGATGCCGTTGGACTTTCCCACCAGCCCTGGTCACCTGACTCCCACATCCATAGGCTCACCTGTTCACATTCCCAAACCATCCCTATCTGCTGGCATACCTGCCTGTCATTATCACATCAGTCCTTCAGTGTATATAACCAGCTCACTAGTCCTTTTCCTTTTCCAGTCTGTCACGTTGCACACTTGTTCTAGCCATCTCTGCCTCTTCCGACCTTATATCTGCTGCATGTGTTTATAACCTGCCTTCTTCCTGACTGTAAACCTGTTCATTTGAATTTAGTGACATTTAGTAAAGGGTCTGCATTTGGGTCCTCATTCACATGTCTGTGACCAGTGTTGGGCTAGTTACTCAAAAAATTAAAAATATTACTCATTACTCATTACTCTTTTAAAAGGTAGTATAATTACTTCACTTATTACTCCCTGCCAACAGTAATTAGTTACTCTACTAGTTATATTACTTTTCTGCTACTCCCCACAACATTGGTTATCATAACCACATCTCCCAGGAGATATTGTAAGAAATTGTTTGGATCAGTAACTGTAATATTATTACTGACATTTATTAGTAATTAGTCACACTACTATTTACTGGGGAAAGAATTATTATTACAAGTGGTTACTGCCCAACACTGTCTGTGACACACAACAGCTTTGTATCAGACCAAAGAGCTGGTTAGAACTGACCTGGCGGTGTCCGCGCATCACTACTCAGCACTGCTTTCACTTACTTCTTTCCTTCCATTTAAAGATAGCAGGCAACTACTATCACTTCTTACACATGAGAGTCAATTTTTTTGGTCATGAGCAGTGAGTTTGAGAGACGTGGGCGCTTACCAGGTGGGGAGGATCAAACAAAAGATGCTGTCAAGTTGCATTATGAGAAATTTGTGATTCAGAAGCTTTGAAGTTTGACCCATTCTTCAGCCTCTTCTGCTTCGATTCTCACCATGATTTTCTAAACTGCCTCTTGCAAGTCCGATGACTTTATGGAAGAACTAAATTGCTGAAGTGCCCCTTTTGATGCTTTGATAACCAAAAGCCTTCACTTAAAGAGCTTTACAGTTTGTATGTAGACACTATGCACCACTGCCTCTAACATCATGCCTTCAATGCATCCCACATGCATAAAATATATTTGGATTTATCAAAAGACTGCTTTAAATATGTCACATTTGATAATTAATATAACAGTGTTACTCTAACAAAAAGCCATCTGATTTTGTTGTTCTGAAATAGTGCATTTTTAATTCACTACTGGATTAACTTTATTTTAAAGTACCTCAAACGCATTGTGTATAATGCAAACAGAATAAATGCAGACTGTCCTTTCCAGAAAAGTGGCTGTATTCGTCCGTGCAAGGAGCTCATTAACATGACTGAGAACCATCTGGGAAGTCATCATTGCAAACTGTTTTGAAAAGGGCAGAAATTTTAAAAATACCTGGCAGGTGATTGGATGAACCATCTGTCTATCATTGTCTATCACAGGCAAATTATAGAACATAGTCAAAGTCTTACCGAAGGGATAAGACCAAAAACATCAAGAAAAGCCTTCTGTGCCATTCTTTGCTCTTCTTTCAATGAAATACTCTTCAGTTCTTAAGCAGCCGCTATTGTTCATTTCAAACACTTCTTAGACATGCTGTCACACACACAGAGACCGTAGCTCATGCCATAGCAGCCAGTAGTTCCTCCAAGAACGCTGATTGCTTCGGCCACAATCACATAGCTTGAAACGTACCAAGATGGATTCTTGCTTGAATCTGTGATTTTGCGAGTCCGGGTGGCTTTCAAGGTTCGCTTATTACTACCTATACCTATATGGTATAGGTAGTAATTATTACTTATGTTTATGTAGCGGCTATTTCATCAATGCTAACCATATGTTTATCCCTAATGCACTTCAGGTCTAATGCATTGCCTGTCGCTGGTACTCCCTAACAGTCACTTATTTTGTCGTTTTGACATTATGTAAGAATTTTAATTCAAAACATTCACAGATGAT